TCCTCTCCACATCTCTAAGTGCCAGACACCTCCATCTACTGTGTGACAGATTTTCCTGATTGATACACCTTCAAGGAATGCAGTGGGAAACAGGATCAACAATAAAACTGTTGACACTCATCCTCCATATTTTCAATTAGCAAACATAAACAAAAAATGATCAAATATATGTAAACAATGCTTAGATTGTTAATTACTTTGCCTTTTATAAATGACTCAACTTTAATGACTCAGCTCTTTCATTTTCACTAATAGTCTAAGATAAATTACTAATAATACACTTTAATAATAACATTGTAATATACAATAAAATTAGTTTGGACCTGTGGACTAAAAGTAGGTCTCAGTAATCCAGGGTAAGTGGTGCAGTGGATTTGGTGTAGAGCTAAAATATTAGTCAGCACACATTTGTGCAAGGTAGTCTGCAGTGCACCCCGCCAGAGCTTTCAAGCATCAGTTCAGCTGAGTTACATAAAGAGACATTTGTGAGAAAAAGGCAAGCAGCAGAGTTAAGAGATGAGGTGCTCAGGGATCACTGCCACAGCAGAGGACAGTGGCACCTCCACTGCCGGTTCTATTGTACCCACTAGGAATGAGGGCAAGAATGTGGAGTAGCCATTAGGTGGCAACAACTTCAAATTGCTTCCTGTCCCTCCTGCCTCTGACCCACTGACCTAAAACAATCCACAGAACATACAGGCAGATTTAGCACAGTTCAAAGCAAGTACAGCCCTTGCTTCCCAAACCAGTGTGATTTTTAAGCGAACAAAGGGCCATAAAAAATGCTTCCCTTGGAAGGAACCTGTTCTAGGGCCCATGTTGGACAGCTCTTGGGCAGTGCCATGGCAGAGGAACATCACCTGTGCACATCATGGAACAGAAACACCTTCCTCCAGAAAATTAATGAGGTGTTTCTTTAGAAGAGCAATGAAGACTGATCCTGATGACATGTCTGCATCTTGGTTCAAAAGACCTTAAAAGATTTACCTGTATCAGGTACATCTTCTAAAAACAGTGTTGTATTAGAAGCTGTTTATATATTTCAGAAAATTTTTTAAAAGCTGATAAACCACGGTTACCAGAATCCAGCAACTTCATTTTGACAGTGCCTTTTATATGTGTTTCTCTTTTTCTGTCTCTATTTTTCCATAAATTCTTAGTATGAAATTTGAACTTTAGAGGCTTGTTTGGCATACATTCTTCCCTATAAATCAAAATAAAAGTCTAGATTTTAAGACAGAAATTCAGTATCATAAAACCATAGAACGGCTTGGAAGGGACCTTAAAAATTACCCAGTTCCAACCTTCCCAGATTTAACTATTTTGTACTTAACAGGATTGTCTCCACCACACACAAACAAACAAAAAAAAATTATAATCTTAAAATGTTATTTAACCTGAATTTTCTTCCTTTTCCCATAACTGCTTATAAAGGAGACAGCTAATACATATTTTCTTCACCACAGGCTCTTTTTTACATTAGACAGTATCAGTTTTACTTTAACAGAAGCAGCAAGCAAAACCACTCATAAAACTGCCTTCCTGCCAGTGACATCATAGTCTAACATAACCTATGCTGGGAAAGGTGTCCTTTGCTTAGGCTGATAGAAGATATCTACAGGATTGTGCAAAATAAGTATATGCTGACATATACAAGGATATGCACAAAGAAAACAAAACAATGTTGCAAATAACATCAACAGAAGTGCACGTATTTATAAAAAAAGGCTGACGAAATCTTGAAGGTCATTACCTACTTTAAAACTCAAAGGTGAAAATGAAGGGGCAGAGACTTGGTGGACTATGACACAAGAGAAAGCAAATTCTGCTATTAGCAGCAGAAACTGTTCCTTTGACACAGAGATGATAGACTGATTCCAGAGTGACAGTTGTTATGCAGCCACCAGTAGGAACTGCCATTCTGCTAAGTAACATTTTGAGTAAGAACAAATTTCCATAAGAATAAAATTTTCAAATGTGTATTCAAGCATAAAATAGCTTGGATAAAATATTAATCCTACAGGTGAAAAGTGCTTCCTAAGCTCTTTTCACAGGGAATCACCTCTCTGCAGGTGGGCAACATACAAAAATCTCTGTAATGTGTTATTTATTTTTACTACAGACACTGTCTAAGCAGGCAATTGGAATTCATGCAAATATCCAAGCAGGAAAGCTTGCAGCTCATAGTGTGCATTATAAGCAGTTGCTGCTTTCCTCTCTGCTTCACCAGGAAAACAGAGTATTTCTAAGCCTTAATATGCAGCAGTACAAAGATTATGTTACAATAATATAAAATAACACAAGGTCTACTTTCTCCTTGGTCTTTGAAAGAAAATATAGAGTCATTAATTTGGCCATCAACACAGCTGCAGAATTGTTTTGTGATGACTGCATTTTTAAAGAAAAGAGAAATACTGCACATCAATAGACATCATATGGAGCTAACACCAACTTGGTGGCTCACCTCCATCCTCACCTGCTATCAACTCCAACACATTAACTTAATCAGAGCAGAACAGCCCTGATACACAAATACACAGGGTCAGCTCCTCCCAACCTTTAGGGAGAGAAAATACTAAAGAGAAGTGATGAAGTGCTAATTAGCAGATCACACAGAATCAATTAGGTTGGAAGAGACCTCTGAGATGACACGGTTTTTACCATCCAAAAAGCATACAAGCAGTGTTATAGTTGAAAAGGCAGAAAAAGGAAGACCAGGGAATGGCTAGAATGTGTGCAAATCCGCTTTACACAGTGCTAGAAAAGACTCATCCTGTAAGCACAGGACCAGGAATCTGTCTCCCTCCTGGAATAACACTCAAGAAGGGAATGCTGGTTTTCAAACCCTCCCTGTGCTGAGGCTAACACCAAAGGACTGGTCTACATCTCAACTACACAAGTTACAGTTCCTCCATCAGCCCACCAGGAAGTTATTTGCAGGAAGCTCTGCAAAGTGTTTGTGAGGAAACCCCTCACATGTCCATAACACAATCAAAACAAAGGCTGTGGAGCAACATTTCTCTTCATTACAGGTGCTACTTCAGTTCTAGAAAATTACTTTTAGCCTGTCACATAGTTTGTACACTTCAAGTCCAACATTAATTTTGAGATAAGAGCCTTCTTCCCAAACACGGGCAGATTCTAGAGTATACTGAGCACATGCACCTAAAACCCAATATTTCAAATACACAAAGCTAAAATATGCATCATCTCCACTAACCACGTTTTTTTTAAAGCTTACCATAAGAAAGAGTAAATATTTGGAACTCAACATACTGAAGACAGTATTGGTCTTTTTCCCATATATCAACTACCCAAACAGCTGCCTGGCTACCTTACAAGACACTCTTCTACCTACAGAAGTTCTCAAATTTTACACCTTAGATGTATTTCAACCAACCAGAACTACTGGGCCTATTGATCAAGTTTCAAAGGCAACATACTGATCTTCTGAACTGAAACAGGGAGTGAACAAGGATTTCTTAATAAAAGACAGACCCCATCTTACTGCTGTAAAGCAACTGCCAATCTACACAGCTTTATGGGAAAGAAGGTATTAAAGTTTTAATCAAACTCATTATATGATATAACATGTAATAGAGCCAACAATGCTAAAGCTGTATTAGTAGCAGTAGCTTTTTTTCTTGACACACTGAGGTATTCCAGACTACAGGAAAACTACAACCATTGCTAAATACAACATATTTATATAAATATTCTTAGAGGTAGTTCAAAGAGTCCAGAGCTGAAGGTTTAAGAGGGCACTACAACTAGAGAGAGAAATGGGGGATATTAAAAAAAAAAAAAAAAAAAAAAAAAAAAAAAAGAGAAAAAAAAAAAAAAAAAAAAAAAAAAAAAGGGAAGGTAACAAAAAATGTTTCATTAGAATATGGGACTTCTCACCTGCAGATTGCTTATAAAAATGTCTAAGGAAGGTACCTGAGATAAAAATCAATTGTCAACAGGCTTTGAGTTGCTACACAAAGGTCAAAACCCCCCTGCAAAATTCCTGTGGTATAGAGTTGGGAAGGTCAAACCCCTCTAACATTTTCCTTGTTAAAAGAAGAAAGAAACAACCATAGCATTTCTTTAGTAAAGGAATTCAATTCTAATTGTGTGACAATCTGCAGAGCAATAATTAAGAAATTCTAGTTTCCAAGCAACCCCCTATGCTAAAAGAGATTGAAATTATCCTAAAAAAAAAACAAAACCAACAAAAACTCAGCTAGCAGTACTACCACCAAATACAGAGATATGCTTTTCCTGATTAAGCTAAATAGTTCCAAAAGGAGAAAACCTTCTGAAAAATAAAAAAGATAGATATCAGAATTGCAAAAATAATTTTTAACCAAGGAAAATGTTTATATATGATGCTTCCAGCAACAAAAGACACAAGGAACAGTAAAATTTTACACATAGGCAGCTGTAAAACAAGAGAACTCTCTAGAAAAATAGACTTCCAGTATTGCTCTAGACAATTTACAGAGGCAACTCCCCTCCAAATCATTGTTTTGTTGATTCCTGTATGGCATTCAGACATCCAATGTAGAAAGAGAACCCTCTGTAAACTGTCATTAAAAAAGCATGCAAGCTCAGATCCCAAAATACAACTTTAACATTTGAAGGTCCCGACCAGAGCAGTGAGTTGAAGCCATGCTGCTACAGAATTCTTCAGGTTCAGATGCTTTGTAAAATTCTAGCTCTTCCATTATATCTGTATGTTAGCTTCTCTTCTGCAGAAAGGTTTGGAAGATTGCTCCTCAGATCCTCCTCACTCAACACACCCACAGCCCCACTGCAGAGGAAAGTGTTCCTCATTGGATAAATATATGCTAAAGCAAAATAACTTTGCAGAATTATTGGCTTATTTCACTAAATTGCATACATGCAAATATCATTAGTGAATGGCTACTTCTAATACCATCTGTCCAATGCCAAGGGCTCTTTAGCAATAGTTCATATGGCAAAAGCATTATAGTGAAGGATTATATTTTATTTACCTTGATGAGTCATTGTGACAGGTTCTTCACTGGATACATTGTTGTAAATGACCACAGCTGTGGCATTATGTGAAGCTGCTCGCAGTATTTTCTCTTTAAATGTACAATTTCCTCTCTGTAGTAAAGCAATCCACTGCTTGGTGTTTGGTGGGACCTGGAAACGCGTTCGAGGGTCACAGCCCAGACGATCTGCAACTGAAATGGGAAACAAATTTACACAGATGGCAATTTCTTCTAACAGGCAAAACAAAAAAAAAATCCTAATTCCAAGTTGCTGAAGTACTTTAATGTTATGCACTAGGAAGCCACTATTCTCCTATGAAGAAAGTCTAAAGATAACCATATTCTTATGAAAAAAAGATTTTAAAAAAAGAAGTCTCACGCAGTGAAAGCTGTGACTATATGCCCAGGAATTAGGCTCACTAACACAAGCTATTTTTAACTCCAGTGCAGCTAGAATAATGAATTCACATTCAAATCAATACCTGCCTAGAGGCTGAAAAACATTAGAATATGGTTCATCTGCTATAGGCATTTACAAAACAGCTGTTTATCAGTCATTCTGGGGAGTACAAGTATTTTTTTTTTTCTTCCTAATGCAGCCACAAATATCACTGCAGTGGGAAGTACAACTGAACAAAGCAGGTTGTGAAAACAAGATTTCAGAGTTATCTCCCATGTGCAGGCTACTGTAAAAAAGGACATTAAAAGCTGATCTTGTAAAACCCCAGCAGCCAACATCAGCTTTTTACATATGCACATTTTGTCTACAAGGAAATGTATTTGAATTCATAGAGAAACAAATGGGTTTGCAAACACAACACACTCGTCAGGTATAGATGGTATAAAGGAAGAGTAACAGAAATGGCAAATGCCAGATGTTTGAATTCAACAGTTTGCAAAGCTCTTTTGTCCCTTCTGATGGTGTAACATATCCTGCAACAACTCAAAGCCACAGAGCTGTGTACAAAAGGCACAAAAGGCAGAAGTGACTTCCCAGCAGCTGAAACCGATGAAAGATGGATCTGTTTGCAAAACTGGAAACACAGTTTAGTCTGATACACTGGTCATATCATTAAAGGATTTTAATTTAGAGCCAACAACAGTTTATAATGCAAATACATTTGTCCTTTTGAATGGCAAGAGTATAATAATCTTTGGCTGCTAAAAATAGTTGGGATAAACAGTGAATTTTTCAAGACATAAAAAAACAATCTATTTGTATAATAGCTCAGAAAAATTACAGTTCTGCAATGTAAGAGCAAATCAAATGAAGTCTCCCATAATCTTTTCCTTTTCAAGAAGTGAGTTTAGCACAACTATGAGATTACAGAAAAAAAATCTACCACCAAAAAATGTCCAGTTTAATATATTAGCTAGAAACAAAAGCCTTTTTAAGCACTCTCAGTTTAACATAGCTGAGATTTTGTTAAAATCTGTAACAAAGGAGATCCAAAGAACGAAAGATGTTTTCTGAAACAAAGAAAATCTTCTGCTTGCCTAAAGAAAGCTAGTGCAGACGAATCTATATTGTGGCAGAGGTACAGGAAGTCATTGCATCTCTTAATTTGGACAAGAAGTGCCTCTCCCTGTTCCCCTGGAAGGAGGGTGGGGAGCCAGATACCAGAACATCCTTTTCACAATTGTTTTTCAAGCCTGTATGAGACATCTCAGATATGGAGGGCTATTCGCTGTATTTTTACAGGCATCAGGGAAAATCTGAAATACAGATGCCTGAAGCCAGGTTTTATAGAGCGTTTTCTTCCATTACCCTGACATCTTTACTGGAATCCCTGTGGAAATTGCTAGCCAGCACTGATCCACACGTGTTTTGCAGCACTGGTGATGGCCATCACAAACATCAACAATCACAGAAGAGCACGTTCACACCCCCTGCACTTCTGCAATTTGTCTTCATAACTTGAGAACAGTATGTATTTTTGAAAGGAATTATAGTCCTTTTTGAAAATGAAGAATCACAACACAGGCACATGTGCCACCAACCTTTTTGCCCTCTGTTAAGATAAAGGCTGTTTAATGCACGATTCTCCCTTGTTCTGAAAATCTCCACTCAAAAACATGGAAGGAGGAAAACACCAGCAGACTGTAATAGGAAGTTCCTCAAGACTTGAAAGATAAAAATCCCACCCTTCTCCCATGAAATCATATTCAAGAATCTCAGGTATGATACATCTGTTTGAAAATACCATTTTCTAAATGGCTACAATTCCAGAGAATCCCTCAACAGCCAAAAATAAGTCTGAAAGTAGACACTATGGTCAATATAAATTTATGGATTAAAACCAGTAATACTACAGATTATGTACTGTTTCCTTCAGTACAATCATGATCAAAACTAAAATATGAAGTGAAAACAAAACTGGCCACAAGACAAGGTAATGGATTATTACAGTGAAAAACCATAAAAGCAACAAAGAGCACCATGAATGAGGAAGAAGCATTCTCCAAATTCATGCAGGCACCTTTAAATTTGTATGCTTGAAAATTTTAAGCTTAAAAAGCTTAAAAAGCAACAGAGAAAGCAGTAAGAGACAACAGAAACTGCATCGGTGGGAAAAGTAGTACAAAATTTTCTACCACAGTAGAGATCAAAGTCTCCCTCAGCTGTGGACAGAGCTATGAAATGTTACTGGATAAAGCAAAAGAATTAGGAAACAAGATATTAAGAGATTAAAGCTTTCCAGATATAGACCAACAAACACCAGTCAAATGCTTACAGTATGTTATCCTGATGAGGTGTATTCACTATATCCTGATGAAAATTTAACAGCTGACAACATTAGCTCAGTACTATTTAAGTAATACAAAAACATTGAAGAAAATCTGGTTGGTTCAGATAAATCTGAACTGTCTGCAAGTCACTTGAGATTTAATAAAAAGTCACAACCCACTTTTCTTTGCATTAGCATTCTATTACACCACACAAATGTTAAGTAATCTTTTCCCTTTTAACTAAATAAAATTCAGAAACAATAGTGAAAAAGGTGGAGTATTTTGCTTGCCTTTTCAACAGACTGAAGATATTCCAAAAAGCATGGAAGTCTTAAAATCACAGTCACCCTTCTAGAATAGTGAGATGGTTACAATGAAACATCTCCTGTACAGCTCAGGTGTCAGTGGTATCAGCAGGCACAGAAGGGGACACACATGAACAGGGGCAGCCAGAATCGTCTCTGACACTCTCCGCTACCCTGCCATCTATGATCTGCTGTCCAAAGCTCAACTAGAATCAAAACCAAATGGGCTCCAAGCATTACCTGGATGATCACAGAATTGTTTGGGTTGGAAAAGACATCTAAGATCATCAAGTCCAACCAGTAATCTGGCACTGTTGTGTTCACCACTAAGCCATGTTCCTGAGTACCACAACTACAAGACTTTTAAATACCTCCAGGTGTGGTGACTCCACCACTGCCCTGAGCAGTCTGGTTCAGCACTTGACAATCCTTTTAGTGAAGAAATTTTTCCTAATATTGAATCTAACTTCCTCCAGGCACAGCTTGAGGCAGTTTCCTCCTACTGTGCCACTTGCTACCTGGGAGAAAACGCTGAACGCCACTTGGCTCCACCCTCCTGTCAGGGAGTTTTAGACAGCAAGAAGGTCCTCCCTGAGCCTCCTTTTCTCCAGATCCTTCAGCGTTTCTTCATCAGACTTGTGCTTCAGCCCCTTCCCCAGCTCCTTTATCCTTCTCTGGACACAGTCCACTATATCAATGTCTTTCTTGCAGTGAGAGGCCCAAAACTGATGTTACTTGTTAGAATGAAAAGCAACTTCATATTAAATTATTCTAAAACAAATCACTTGCAGAGAGAAAGATATGATCAGAAGCTACTCATGGAAGTTGAAAAGATACAAGCATACAGAAAGCCATTTAAGTAAGTTTCCCTATAATATACTACTCTTCTGGCTTATTTGAAATATAAGCTATTTCCCCTGCCTGTCTCTGTGTTTATCTATGCATCATGTGTTGGCAAAACCCCCATTTTTCTGGTTTAGAAGGTTTAGAAGTGGCAGCCTGCTGGGTTAAAGAGCTATGTACAATGTTGTTGTAAATATCTCCCTTCCTACTAAGTCCCAGCACCACAGAAGAGCCTCTTTACAGAAGAATCAGCTGTGATTTAAGTACCCACCATTAGGCTCATGTTTGTTTTCTGCTTTAGGAGAGCTTCAGTTTCCTTTTGCAGAATACAAAGGGCTGCTCAGTTTGTGTATCTGTTTTTCTTTGAGAATTTTTTATAACTCAAGACCCCTTTCTGCTGAAGGACTCAGGTTTGTGACAGCATTTTAGGGATTCATGGGAAAAAAATAGTCAATGATGCAACAGATCCAACCAAGATTCCTCAACTACTGAAGAAGCAGTGGCAAGCTCATATCAGCACAGCAACTGTACCTTCCTTTTCCAATTGCCTGACCATTTTCTAGCCTTCTCCCTATAGGAAGGGGAGCCATTTTGTGGAGCAAAAATGAACCAAAAAGGGCAGTTCCCAGCAGCTTTGTCACAGGTGCACACCTGTCTGAATGCAGACTGTCCCCTAGTTCTGAACTGTGCCTGGGCTTGCTCTTTCTCACGCTGTGTTCCTGCTGCTCTTGCATCGCTTTGAACACAACTGTGACACCCCCCCCACTTCACCCAAGGTTGCTGCACTGGCTGTTAGCAGACTTTGTCCCCTTTTCACACAAATATCCCACTCTCTGTACATTAAGCATTTTATTCTGTGCAGGGCTTTTTTCTCTATTTTTTTTTTCTCTCTAAAGGTCAGATATCTTGCTATTGATTTCATCTTAGCTAATACTGTCATCTGTAAAGCCAGCACCAGTTGCCAGAGCTGGTCTGTATCAGCTACACATACAGAAATCATTTTAAAGTCTGACCTTCAATCACTGTAATACAATAGCTGGAGAGACACCACTAGTATTTTGAGGGACAGCAGATCAAGAGGCTTGTTGGGAAGGAAAGCACAGAGGAACACAGGAAGGTACAGTGCCATGCAGGCTGCACCCCAAAGCATTCCCTCCCTGCAGCTCTGCTGCCCAGGTAGGTGCTATATAGAACACATAACTGGTAAAACAAGACAGCTTTGTGCAACACATTAATTACAATCCTGTGATAAAATTTTGAGAAAAGGAATTCAGCTGGGAAATTCACAGAGGCAACTCAGCAGTGCTGATAGATTATTTCAAGGAATGGTACTAGTTATTTTCTATCCCATTAGGGCTTAATAGATGCAATGGACATATTTTCTTTCAAAGCATTACTACTTGTGCTATTAGCAATATAGCCCTTATTCAAGCCAGTCATAATTTCTACTTTATAAGGTGGTGCCAATGAATCAATGAGCTATGTACAGCAACATTTTCTTTTCAACAGCTCTTTCAGGTAATTGCTTTGACTAAAGCTGGCTTTAGCACGAAAAGAAACTCTTTGAGCAAGAGGTAATCTGGTTTCAGGGAGGAGGTTAAACAAAAGAAAATCACTGAAGCTTAGAAGACTCCTGTAATAGTTCAGATTTAATCTTGTTAGCTCAGTATTCTACAATTATGGCTATACACTCCAATATATAACCTCCACTTTTGCTATCAATTAATGACTACCAATTAAGCTGAACACAAAGATCAATGATGGACAGAAGCATGGCACAAGATCCTTCTTCCCCTACTCTACTGATATATTTGCTCGTTGCATTTTCAATAGCCTTACTGGTTTGGATTCTGGGCCAGAATTTCTGTCTGAATGCTGTCTAAAGCTCCGCAGTTACCAGGAAACTGGCATTTCAAACCTTCTGCAGCTAAAACTTGTTCACACAACATGTTTATGAAGTGCCAGATGCTACAGAATGCTGTAGTTACAGCACTATGCACAAGATACACCTCCTTCCTAACACTGAGCAAATATTGTTTCTTCCACACTTTCACCTTTTTCTAACATATGTTTTTCCTCACATTCTCAGTCTCCTTGCCAAGCCCCAGCCCTTATATCCCTTTGGGAGAGCTCTCCTTTCTATGAGCCCTTTCTCCAAAGCAGCTTTCGTACAACCACCACCTCCCTACAAGCCCTTTAAACTCCATCTGTTTCCGCCCCTCCTCACCTGCTCGTTCCTGACCTACTGGCTCAGTGAATTTTAACATTTCAAGTTTGTCTCTGCTGCTGTTTCTCTTCCTATTAGCTCCATCACCAGTCCTGGTCATCCTGCCTGCTTCCCAAGCCAGCCAAGGTGCACAAAGCCTCACCTCCCAGCAAGTCCTGCAAGAGGACTCTTCAATGCACACAAGACTGAATTTCCAGTCTTCACACTGGACTCCAAAAGCAATAATCCAGATTCAACAGCCACAAAGAATCCTGTTCCCCACTGAGAATGTTTTTGAGGGAACTAAGCCACAAAACACTTCTGCTTCTATCAAGAACCATTAAGGTGAGTATTCACTGGCTTCTAGCTTGGTTTGCCACGGCAAGGGGAATATACCTGACACCTAAACGTCTGCACCACAACTGGTGTCAGGCACCCAATACCAAAGAGTAAAAGCACAGGTCATTGGAGTGGCACAGGGCTGAACACTTGCACGGTGCATGTGCAGACATCCAGGAGCACCCAGGCAGCTGCTGTGAGAGGACTGGGCTGAAATTACCTGGAAGTGTTCAAGGCCAGGTTGGAAAAGGCTTCAAGCAACCTGGTCTAGGAGAATGTCCCTTCCCAAGGCAGGGGGCTTGGAACTAGAGAATCTTTAAGGTCCTTTCCAACCCAAACCACTCTATGATTCTATGAAAATGCCTGGTTGCACCAAGTCACAGATAAAAGAGTAAGGGACTGAGAAGTATTCTGGAGCCACACTGAAGGAATACTATAAACCTAAACTATCAGAAAATCTAAATCAGGCTGTGAAGACTCATTTCACTTCTATCCTTCCATGCACAATAAGAGGAGTTTTGTTTTGGGTTTTTTTTTTTTGACTCTGCAAGCATTCATGTCCAGAAGTGGTTTAAAACACTCTTTTAATAAGAAATTAACTCATGACAAGAGATAAGTCAGAGGAGGTAAGAAAAGCAACTCGAAGTAGAAGAACAGAACAGAGATTAATAAAGAAACTATGCTGCTATCGTGCATTTAATGTGCTTGGAAAAATATGCCCACACAGCTGCTGAATGTACACCCAGCAACCAACTGTGACCAAGAGCTCACTGGAGCTGCACTTTCACAAGTCACATTCACAGGCGGTCATGCCAGTTACTGCCACCCCACTCCCAGGGGAACACTGCCTTTGAAAGCCCCTATCAATTTCATACAAGCTCTATAAAAAGAACACAGAAAGAGTTTTAATACATGTATTAACATGACAAGTTTGGATTCCATTAAAGAAATCCTGCTAAAGAAACAGGAGAAGTGATTGACTATCATGCTGCACTGAGATTTAAAGGATGAGTGACCACATGGAGCTGGCATCTTCAAAAAGCAGCACATAAAATATTAGACATATTCAAGAATAGAAGTCAAAAAACACCACAGAACACTTAAAATAACAAGTTGTGTGTGGTCAGCAGCAGACCATGGACCCCAAGTCTTGAATTAGTAAACTCATTTATTTCCCTGCAGGCAATGAGCAAGGGATGGGATAAGATGCCCCATTCCTGGAAGAGTTCCAAGGCCAGGCTGAATGGGGCTTTGGGCAGCCTGGTCTAGTGGAAAGCATCCCTGCCCACAGCAGGGATGATCTTCAAAGTCCATTCCAAACCAAACCATTCTATGATTCTATGATTCTTCACAGAGCATGCAAAAATGTGAAATTAAGGACACTTCACCTCTGAAATAGTCCATGCCATCAAGGTGGTAACAGATCACCCACATTTGTGAAAATTTCAAAGACAGCCCATAAATGGGTGAATGCTTGACATCACAACAGTTTCAAATTCAAGGTACCTTCAAATAAAGTTGCTAACAATTCTAGAGTCCTTTTCTTCTGAGGATACATGAAAACTGGGGTACAGCATTTACTGCTCTAAGAGCAGTGGCTGGCAGCTACTCATGTTTAGAGCTATTAGAAAAAATTTTGCAAGCGAGTTCACCAGCAATATTAACAGGCTGATTAAAAAAACATGAAAACAATTACTTTCAGTAATACTGCAGCATCTTTTATCAAATCTGCATATAAAAAAGCAGATGTTCAAGAACAGCTTAACTAAAAGCATAAAATATTCCAGTCTTTCTTCTACATTAAACCACAGGCACATCAGCAAAATTCAAATAAAATATAACAATCTACACAGAACAATTCAGAGTATCTAAAAGTAAGGACGACAGCCACTGTTGTGCTTGCTTTAAGTTGTCTGTAATGAAACAGAAGGGCAAAACTGAATTTCCCCCAAAACTGATAACAAAGTTTTAACAACTGCACTATGTCAAACCATGTCAGGCCTGACATTTTCACACTTCCTGCTGTTGCTTCTCAAGAAAGCTATTTATCATAGTACTAAGCAGTAGGTATAAAAATACTGTTTGTAGACTGCTCAAAATTTTATTTAGCTTTTCTTGTTATCAACTGCCTGTGAAAATGCTGTCAAAGTCTCCCTCAGTGTTTAAATTGCATCTTAGTGACAGCATATCAAAAGAAAGTAGAAAAGGTTACAGAGGCAAATTAAAAGAAATTAGTATCTAAAGTTTTTCCTTACACAGCTCAAAAAAAACCACAGCTCAAAAAAAAAGTGCTTTGATACCTTGCACGTATTAAAAAGCAGTATTTTAAAACCTGTTAAAATACTACTTGCAGTGACATTGCTTACATGCCTAAAACTTTCAGGACAGACTCCTGATTTCAAGGGGGTTGTGTGGGGATGTGAAGAACATCAAGAAGCAGAAGAACGACTGCAACATATTTAATCTTAGCTGATAGGATTTGAAGTAAAAATGAAATAATTTTAGAGCAGACTTCCTCAACAATTTCTGCTTCCACACCCTTCCACCCCAAAATCTATCCCCATTAATATATTCTAATTATATTTTGCAGAGCTAATGAAACTGAGGTCCAGTGAGAATGGCAAGCACCTGCTGATGCACAGCCTGATCCATCTGGACCAGAAGCTTACAGAGGCTGCCCAGCAGAATGCATTTGCTCTGAAGAAGCATCAAAGTATTTTCCTGATCTTAAGATTTGGCAAATTCTCTAAAGCTTCTACTAATACAGTAGTTTTGTGCTATCAATTCTTCTAAAACACTCTTAGTATTCACCACTTAGAATCGAGTTTTAACTGACGACTGTATTTCATTTAATACATTATTCAGATGTTTACTGTCCAGGAGGCAGGTTGGGACCACTGTATTGCATCAAGTGGTCCATTCCTTAAAGATGGCAGTTTAGATAATATCAAGGATGGTTTTCAAAGTAAGATACTATTAAAACTACATCACTATTACTGAAGATACCAGTCTTACTTCAGGCAAAATTCATTACAATACTCTCAGCTGTTCAAATTAGTGTTCTCTATAAACCCGAGCATTCATCAAAAGAATGATGGACAACAGCTTTGCTTAATTAAAAGAAAACTTATTTGTACACTCTATCCAGTGTTCAGTACTGCAAGCAAGCACATTTTAGGCTGGCTATAAGAGCAACAGCTTGGCAGCTTCAATCCTTCCAAGTCTTGATGGGCAGCTTAAATAGTGTTTTTAGAATTGCACACTGAAAAACTGTGACTTCATGCAGTTGCCAAAGCTATCCAGATGCAGACTGAGATGGCTATGCAGCTGTTCTGAGATTCAAGGCAATGCTGTACCCAAATGCCGTCAACTATCGCTACCCTCTCTGTAATTAGTTAAGGAATAACACCTTCATCGCTCAGTACACCCATTCTACGCTGGATCTATGCTGGAAAACACATTATGCTTCGCTGAGCCGTTTTTCAAGCCAACACTCTCAGATCATGGATTTATTTTATTTTCCTCTGGGCAAGCTCTTCCTCCTCGTTTGTCAGAGCTCTCTAGGAAAGCCTGCCCAGCCCAGGCAAGGACGAACCACCCGGCAGAGAGCGAGGGAAGCGTTCGTTACCTCCGTTGATAGGGACGGGAGCCACCAGCAGCCCCTTGACCTCCACCTTCGGGGAGTCCTGCCCGTAGCGGCCACGGTCGATCCGCAGCAGCGTGGGGCCGCCGCGCTCGGGGCTCAGCACGGTCACGTTGATGAGCGCGGTGTAGTACGCCTGGCTGGCGTTGTCGGCGCCGGCCGGCCGGACCCGGCCGTGCCACAGCAGCAGCGGCAGCAGCAGCAGCACGGAGGAGCCGCCGTTCCAGTGCTGGCGAGCCCACCGCCAGCTCATCTTCGACTCCGGGCGAGCCGACGGCCGTCACCGGTTGCCTCCGCCGCTCCCCCCCGGCAGCGTCGAGCCCCGCACACCCGGGTGTGTCCTATCCCATCTGACAGCCCGGGAGCGGAGAGAACCAAAAGCGGGCGGAGCGGGGAGGAGAGCTCGGGCTCATGCCATGGGAGGAGCCAGGGGAGTCATGGCAGGTCCCAGCCGGGTCCGATCCGCCGCCGCGGCTCCCAGGGGAGGCTGCTCGGGGGAAGCCGAGCCCCGCCGGTCCCTCAGAGCGCCGCGCTCATAGCGCCCGCCGCCGCCGCGGGGGAGCTCCGGCCGGGCGAGGGCAGGGGAGGAGGCGGGGCGGTGCCGCGGCCCCCTCCCCGCGCAGCCCCTCGCCAGCCCAGGGGAGGTGCGGGCACGAGCCGCCGCTGCCGCCTCAGTCGCGCTCGCGAACAGCCGCGGGGCTCGCTCGGACTCGGCCCGCCGCGCCGCCTCGTTTCGCCTCGGGGCTCGTGGCCGCCTTAGTGCGGCAGGCGGCGCAGCTCAGTGCCCAGCCCGGCGTCCTCAGCTGGCAGCCGTCGCTTCATGCCCGGTTCGCCCCGAGGGCGGCGGGCCCCCGCACCGTCCCGCGGCTCCGCGCCTCGACTGCAGCCCCGCGCTCTGCGCAGGCGCCGCACGCCCCGCCCCGCGCCACGAGGGCGAGAGGCGGGGCTTGGGCCGGGCCACGCCCTCAGGGGGCGGGACCATCGCAAAGGGGCGGGGCCGCGGTGTATGAGGTCATTGTGGGCGTGGCCCGGCTGGGCGGCTGCGGTGACAGCGGGCTCCGGCGGCGGAGTTCGCCGGGAGTTCGATCCCAGCGCCGCACGGCTACCGGCCGGGAATTGGATCCCAGCGCCGCACAGGCACCGGCCGGGAGTCGGATCCCAGCGCCGCACGGCTACCGGCCGGGAATTGGATCCCAGCGCCGCACGGCCACCGGCCGGGAGTCGGATCCCAGCGCCGCACGGCCACCGGCCGGGAATTGGATCCCAGCGCCGCACGGCCACCGGCCGGGAATTGGATCCCAGCGCCGCACGGCCACCGGCTGGGAATTCGGTCTCAGCGCCGCACAGCCACCGGCTGGGAAGGCTGCTGAGCTCGGCGAGTCCAAGCTGCGACCAAACACCACCGTGTCAACTAGACCATGGCACTGAGTGCCACATAACAGTCTTTCCTGAAACATCTACAGGGACAGTGACTCCACCACCTCCCTGGGCAGTCTGTTCCAATATCTAAACACCTTTCTGTGAAGAAAGTCTTCCTAATGTCCAACCTAAACCTTCCCTGGTGCAGCTTAAGATGTTGGGACACATACACGTACAGGCTCCCATGGCTCCTCAGCATCTTTTCAGAAAAATATTTCCAGTTCAGGAGTGCTGATCACCAAAAAGATACAAAGAAAGAGTTTTAAAGCATGTCAGAAATAGGGGGTGGAAGAGCTGTGTGTGTGAAAACCAGGTGGGGTGTGTTCAGTCTGTCCAGGTAGAACCGAATGGGCTTTTGGGGCAGGAACAGCACAGCTTCTGTGTCAGGTTTCATCATTCCTACTGTATTTGTTGTTACTTGCTTCTGATGTAGTAAAATGCGAAATTGTACAAACACTCAAATATTGTTAATAAATATTAATCGCAGGAAATACTGTAAAATAGGGTTTGATGAATGATCAACTAACATAGTTTTAAGGATTTCAGCCTCTTGGGAGATGTAACAAAATACTGTAATGGCCTCCTTGGATTTTGGAAGACTAACTGAAAATTAGTTACAGCAAAGAGAACAATTACTGCAGGACTGTGAGTTAGGGTATTTTCTAAGTTTCTGAAAAAAATGGCTATGGAGCTGTTCTTTTGAGATATGGTCTCCTTGGTGACTTCCCCAGCTGCACGGGAAGGCCCTCAGATAAGTTTGGTGTTTAACCTATGCATCTTATTAACCTGTTTTCTTCTGGGAAGTTTTGTATTTTATTCATTTGTGATGCACCTGGTCACACACACACACACACACACACACACACACACACACACACACACACACACACGTAAGATAACACTGTTGAAGCACAGTCTGTTTATTTCATTGAGATGCAAATAGTTTTATCCTGCCCTTGGAGAAACCCGTTCCTTTTCTGAGGAAAGCAGCATGATTGGAAACCTGCACCTCGGAGCAGGAGGGATGTACGGACTCTGCTAAAGGCATGTGTGGCTCTGTAAAATCCTCTGAGAAGCTGTTTCTGCAAGGCTCTGTAGAAATGTCAATACAATCCAGGAAATTATTCTGAAGCAGCAACTGAATGTTCTGCTTACATTTTTTTTTTAATGTAATTTTGCCCTTCTTGGTACATGCTGGGTGAGGAACCACATGCTACTGATTCTTCCTCATTTCACCCAAACCTTCACCCCAGCCACAGAGACAGAGCTGTGGCTGACAGTGTACAGTACATGTTTTGGAGTTGTTCTTGCTTTGACTTCTCAGAACTAAGAGCTCTGCATCATTCTGATGCAAACTCATGTGCTTTATTGCCGAAATGTCCTCAGAAGGGGCCAAGGAGTCCCGGGAGCCTGAGGATTTTTTGCTATCACTGTGCTGACCTTCAGAGAAGGATCTCAAAACACTTTGGAAAAGCATTGAGGATATATTCACTGGCCATGCTAGAAGCAAAACAAGGGGCCCAGCCAGGGCATCCCCAGTTCTTTGCTGACCGCATGAAATGGCTGGTTTTTATTTTTTTTTTTATCCAGTTTCCTGTGGGCTGTGTTTCTGATGGAGAGAGGTGCTCCAACGCCTGTGTGAGGGCTGCTCCTTGGTTCCGTCCCCATCCCCATCCCCATCCCCATCCCCATCCCCATCCCCATCCCCATCCCCATCCCCATCCCCATCCCCGCTCACACAGTTGGGAGGCTGTTCCTCACCTTCCTCCCAGCCTGTCCTTTGGATGCCCTATGGATGGGTTGGAAAGAAGGCGAAGAGCAGCCAAGGGGGGGTAGTCATGGCCCCAGAAGAGGGGCAGCCAAGCATTGCTCCAGGATGCACCAAAATAGAATATTTCATCAGTGGAACAGCTTCAATCTCCTCATTCCTCGGATGGACAGGCCCCTGGATGGGAAAAGGAAAATGAAAAGGTCCTTTTGGAAGCTTTCACCCCAAGGTGGAACTGGATGAAGGAATGACGAACCCTTCATCCAGAGGAGAGGAGCGGAGATGTCCCCCTTGTGTCCCCTCAGCTGTGTCTCTGCCACTGATGGCTCCTCAGGGGACATTATTTTAGTCAGACAAATGACAAAAAAGGTGCTGATGCCTTCACAGGTCCACCCATGGGTAACGAGGGAGCTGTGCCTGAGCGTTCCTTGAGCTCCTACCGATTTTTTTTTCTTTTTAGGGGAATGCTCACGAACGCACTCGTGTCCCATTTCTCAGCGAACACCTCGTTCAGCCGCGCTGCCGCCCTTGGCTGTGCCAGCGCCACAGGCGCGCCGCCATCTTCCCGCCGGGGCCCGCGGCCGCCGGGGGCAGGGCGCCACCTGCGGGCCGCCGGCGGCACCGCCCGGGCTCGCGGGGGCGGGGTCGGTGCCGTGAGGGGAATTTGGGAATTTGGCTCCGGTCCGAGCCGTCGGTGCCGTGAGGAGAACGGACCGAGGCGGGGTTGGGTGCCCGTAGGAGAGGGGTCCTGGGCGGGGGGACTGTGGATGTGCTGAGAAGAGGGGTCTGTAGGGGTTTGGTGCCATGAGGAGAAGGGGAGTCCGGGCGGTGTTGTTGCCTTGAGAAGGAGCGTCCAGGGGGGGTTTGAGTCCCTGAGGAGAAGGGGGTCCGGGGGTCTCTGGTTCCCCATGTGCAGTGGATGAAGACGAGAAGTCATGAGACCTCCAGGGCTGAGACCCCCGGGGCCGAGGTGACAGGACAGGGTGGTGGATCAGGGCACGGGGCTGGGTGCTGTGTTTGCTTCTGCCGGCGAGCTTCACCAAAGAGAATCTGACTTCACCAAGGGAAAAGACAGACTTTCAAGCTGGATGGAAACGCCACAAGATCCATCCAGCTGTTTCCTAGAGCACGCGGGGAAATGCAAATGGACACAAAAGTAAAAATAATAAACCCAAAATGTGCTGATGGCTTGGGCCAGGCTGGGCTGCCCCAGGGGCAGAGGTGGCCCAGGAACCAGAGAGCAGCTGCCAGTTATGACTTTATTCATTCTCACATTTAGATATTACAACAAAATTCTTAATGACAAAGGGTAACAAGTACTATAGGAGAAGAGGAAAGGAAGCAGTGTTCTAACTGGTTTGATAGATAACCGTGAACTTCCAGAGACAGGATTCAATGTGAGTTACAATCACTCACATAACGCTCACTGGTAGGAAAACTCAGGTGCAAATACCCACACACTCACCCACAGCACACTCACACACACACAGACCATGCTTTGTACTCACACATAACCCCTGTTTTAGCCTACTTGCTTCAAAGGCAGCCCACTGAAACATTGAATGCTGCTACAGCAACAACAGGTACCAGGTTAAAATATTGCAATATAAATGTAGTGTTACTTAATACACAGGTTTTTTTTCAGAGACACACGTGTATTTGCAAGTAGGGGATCCAACACTTTGTTTTCAGGAGGGAGGAATGTCCTCTCAGCATCAACACTTTGTAAAGAAAAGTGAGACTGAGCACAGAGTGGAAGCAGCCATTTTAAAGAAAGGTGATTGATGATAAATAGCTTAGCTTCGATGTTGAGTTCCAGTAAGTAGCCCAAACAAAACAAAACAGAGAGTGCATTTTGAACATAGCAGGCACAAATATCAAAATCTGGGTTTTAAACATTGAAATACCCCCTTGCTGCTGTGGAAAGATAGAAAACACTTCTTTCTCACATCTTAAAACCAAAACAGACCAGCTTCACTTCATGCTTATCTGGAAACTGTAAAAATAAAAAGCCAGAAATAATTGAAGAGAATGGGAAGCGTTATCAGGTTTGCACATCTAATTTTAGTATACCTTTAGTATACCAAGAGTACAATTGTCTCAACAGCTCTCAATATCCCACACTACAGTTGTTCTTCATCAGCAGGAGTGTCTGAAGAGGAGCCAGATTTTGCTCCTATCAGGCTGCATTGTTCATGCAATACTGTTTACACAGACACAATACGATCTGATTCCACCCCCCATCTAGATGGTGCAAGAGAGAGAAAATAAGCTTCTGTGGAGTTGAATAGTCAAAAATCTGATGACACAGAAGTGCTTTCCCCAGGGAGATGCGGGGGATCATTAACAATAGTTTTAACAATATAACCCTTCTCCACAAGGATGTTTATAAGCAATTTACAACTAAATCTAGAGAAAAAGTGCAGCTGTACTAGCTGGATGTCCATGCTGATAATCAGCCTGGGAACAAAGATGCCTCCGTCCCCTTTCTGCTGAGGAATCCTGCCATGCCCAGCAAATGTCATGCTTTGCTGGCACATACCTATCCCTTACATATGGACAGGGACGAACAGCTACTTTGAAATTCCATTTTTTAACTATTATTTTGTTCTTGGGCCCTCTTGCAGATGGGGCTGTTTCCAGGCAGAGAACTTTTCATGGAGTACTGGAAACAAGAGAGAGTGGGTCCTGTGGATGCACATCACCAGTGAGCAGCCTGAATTTAGCTCAGCTGGTCACCTTCTACCCCTGTCAATGCCAGTCACGAGCAGCACGAGTCACATATAGCCTTCCTTCTGCCAAGGGAACCACCAGTTCAAAAAGCAGGGCAAGATGAGGGCAGGAGAATTTGATCTGGCCTATACCCTGCTGGCTGTCCTACTTCCTTGTCCTGGCTCTCCAGCAGCTCCTGCCAGAGGATTCTTACTGAGTCATAACAATTACTTAAAGATGCTTAAATTCCTGGCAGCTTCAGGGGACACCAGTAAAAGTCAGGGAATTCATTGTCATATGCAGTTTCCAATTCCACATCCTGAGACAGTTTGGCTCAAGCTGGTCTGGTTTTGTGCCTCTTTTTTGCCATGGAAATTGCAGCCATGTCATCCTTCTGACACAAAAAGGGAGTGGAACATTGAACGAGCTGCACAAGCTTAGAGAACCTGAATGACAAGCATGCTTTTCCCATGTGCTAAATAAATCTCCCCATTGCACTTGTGTGGAGAACTATAATTAAGACTTGGCAACATCATCCGTAAGAGCTCACAGGCTTACGTCGGGAAACGCGTAAAACCCTCTGCTGGAAAAGAAATACAGTTTGGGAAAGCTGTACATCTGACAGGAAACACAGTTTTACAAGTCCAAACCCTTGGCTCTGTGACAGAGGTGTGGCCCACAAGCAGTAATTCCCTGGTGCTGAAATGCTCTGGTGCACAGAGCTCTGCCAGCCACAGGCATGTGGGAGAAGAGATGATGACAAGCTGTTCAAACGAGCCTTTTCAACCAGACTCCTGAGGCGGTGATGTAACCGTGCTCTGTGGCTGAGCTCTTGGACTGGGAGCAGGATGGAAAGAAGTAGGTGGGAATTGGTGAGGCAGCAGTACAGAAATCTATAGAGAGGGGCTGCGGAGGTTCCCCAGAGCTCAGAATTCACGTAGTATCTCTTAGAAACAAAAGACCAAAGTGAGGAGATGTTTCCTCAGCAAATAACTGTTTCTTAATCCTCTGGAGTCAAGTCTGCTCTGCTGGAAGTTCTGCAAAAGAAACAAGAGGAGCCCGCTGGGCAGAGTGTGCCTCCTTTGAGTCAGGGAACTTGGGAGACAGGAAAAGTCATGGTGCAAACTGTCCATCCAGGAGAATCAGGGCTTGAACCCTGGCAAGGTTGGCTGGGCTCCATGTGTTCAGTGATGTCAACACGCAAGGGGAGGCAACCCTGAGCACCTTATTGCTGGAGCACTGTTCCTTCCATTGTTTCCAAAATGCTTTGCAGCAGCTTGAAAATAAACATTTCACTCCCTGCCCTTTTGATCTTTTTCCTCCCAGCAAACTCTATGTTTAGCAGCCAGCTCAAATTAACCTAGCTTTGCTTTAATTTCTTGCTTGGGCAACAAATGATCTCAGCACCATTCTGGGAGAAGGGGAAGGCAAGAGCAGCAGACCTGTGAGTAACCTGCTCCCAGCAGAGATCATAAAAGGACCTGTTTTGCACACGGCCTGCAAAAAATTGCTGTTTATCTCACCGGGAGCACTTTAGCCATCCGCTGATGACCTACTCAGCACTAGCTGTGTTGAGATGGCTAAAATAATCCTAGTGATAAGGCAGATTGGCAGGTTTCCCCCAGCAGATATGAGAGGGGTGTGGGTGTAGCTTGCAGAGGAGATGGAGAGGCTGACACCTACTCAGGATGAGCAGCATGCACAAACATTTACAAAGATCCCTCAGGATCACTCTGTACACCTCTTTAAAATGTCCTGCTCTTGCTGCTAATACCACTAGGGATTCTTCCCTTTGATTCTGCTTCGCAGCTCAGCAGCTGACATCATGATGAGGGGAGGAGGAAGAAATCCAAGGAAAAACATTCAGGCTGCACACCAGGAAGAAACTTGAGACTAAGACAGAGCTATTTATATCTGACCTGAAATGGGCTTTCTGAATGGGAAGCTGATCTGAGCGGAGGCTGGATGTTAGGCAGAAGGTGCCACAGTGCTGAACACAGGCACCCACTCTCGGGCAGAATGCATCTGTCTGAGGTGCAGGAATAAAAGAAATATGAGGAATCAGTGATGTGCTCTCTCCAGTCGTGGCACAGGGAAGCTGCAGCTGGAGGTGCTGTATGGTTCATGCTGCAGTTCCAAGGACATTGGTGTTCCCCGTCCTTTTGGGGTAGGTTCCTGGTTGGGTTTGGGCATAGGTTGAAGGAGAAGCTCTGAGTGACCCTGATGACATGTCTGGAGGGCCTTGGCAGTCGCCTCCAGGGCCTGGTGCCATTAGTACTGCTCGGAGAAGAAGGAAGCGTGGAGAGTGGGTGGACTGGCCCCCTCTCCAGGCGGGGTGCAGCTGCCATCCTCAGAGTGTTCCGACAGCTCCCCATATTCACTGTTGTAAAAAGTCTGGCCTCCGACTTGGGACCCATATGACGGCCGATATCTGCCCTGCAGCTCCGACTGTTCCCCTGACAGCTCCATGGTTCGACTGGGCCCTTTACTGCTGCGAAGGAGAGAAACACAGAATTAACCTTGGCACTCCAAGAAAGCCTTTGTCCTGCTCAGAGAGGTCCCAGCTTCAGCAAATCTCATCTTCTAATGCATACAGCAGAGACAGGGTCAGGAATGGACTTGCACCTCCATTTCAAAGCACAAAACCAGGCTTTGCACCAAATCTAAGCACAGCCTGTTTGTTTTGTGACAAATCTGCACATAAACTGGTACACTTATTTCAGCTCTACTAGATACCTTTGGGATATCTTCTAGATACAGGGAAGTGTTGGGACCCCAATGAGTAGGGAGAGACAAGAGACATTGCCTTAATTACTTCTAGACTTGGCAGGAATAACAGAAATTGATACAAACCAACTGCCAGGATGGGGGAAAGGAAACAAAGGAAGATGACGAAGATGTGGGCAGAAGTCATATGTCCAATCTCAGTGCCTGCCAATACCAGGTGATTGTCAAGAAATCACAAGAGCAGAGGCAGGGACACACTCAAGAATTTTAAGAGTAGTGTTTTCCAGGAGACAGGACACCAGGAGTAGGAGACAACAGGAACATACCTTAGGGAAAAGAGGACAAGGACAAGAAACAGGAGACTGTTTGATACAAGAGCAGAAAGGCCACAGGTCTATGGCTAAGAGAAAAGACAATGACCAGTTCAATATAATGTTGGGAGGCAGAGGAGGTGAGGAAGAGGCTTGGGACTGGCCTTGTCTACATATGAGGTGACATGGCTTGCTCAACACACTGTCACAGAGACAAGGGCTCTGATTGCTCTGGCAGAGGTGAGGTGTACAGGTTCTCCAGTTTCAGAGCCTGGGTCAAAGACAAAACCATCCGTAACATCCTCAGCTCTGAGAATGCCAGCTCAACCAGCCAGACTCCATGTCAGCATGTGGGGATTCCTAAGGCCTGTCCCATCCCTGCACCACCACATCAGGGCCCTGTACCCCACGGGTCAGGGTGGAGGGAGGAGGGTGGCAGCTACATAGTTTCTGCCCATTCCATCTGCCACTGCTTGAGCAAGCCCTGACACATTTCACCAGAAAATGTCAATAAGCATTAACAGTCTCATTAACACCATCATTCCACTGTGCCTCATTATCTTAACAGGCACATTCTCATTGATGGGCACAGTTTATATTATTAAACCCTAGAAAACAGCAGGCTTGTCTGTTCTTCCTGTATTTTGCCTCTCATTAAGGAGTACATGGACTCATGTGGCTCAGGGCCCACAGCTGAAAGTTCCAAGCAGTGCAGCTTGTGGGGAGACACCAGGAGCTGCCTCCTGGTCTCACTGCATTTGGCAGCAGGGAGGCCTCAGTGGCTAGGCTTAAGGAGTACCTGAATCCACCTTCTTTTCTGTGTCGGTTTTCTATCCTCTCAAATTCCTCAGATGCCAGAACCATCCCACTGTCTGTCTGATTGTCCTGGAAGGAAGCAACAGGAATTATCAGTAACATCCCTGTCGACTGATCAGAGTGGGAAGGGAGGAGAAATAATTCAGGAGATGAGATCCTGTGTATGTGTGATGGGGAAGAAGGTGTAGGAGCACTTTACCAGCATGCTCCATAGCTCTGCTGTATCTGATTTTCTTAGGTGCCTTCTTGAAAGCAGCATGTTAAAAGGTAAGATTTGTGTGCTTAGTTCAGTGCCATTTTTGGGGAATAAAAAAAGTGCTCCCTGGCTGGAAGATGTATTGCCACCAAATCTGTGAGAGGTGATATTTTCCTATGAGACTAAAGCTATGACTTCAGTTCTGCTGCTAGAGGAGATACCAGTACCAGGCCAGTTCAGAGAGATATAGAGGTCTGCACACTGCCATGCCACTGCTACTGCACACTGCCATGTGGACCAAGATACAGGAGATGCAGATAAACACTCTGGGTTTAGCTAGTCCTGGAAGGATTTCAGTGTGCTTAATCAGGCTGTGTTGAAGATTTGAAGATGAAGAGCAGGCTCTTCTCTGAGGTACTTTATAGTCCCCCTATTTGCATATCTTACCTCCCTGTTTCCCACTAAGGCAGTGTGAACCATGCAGAAGAGAAACCCCTGTGTGCCAGATGAAGAAATGAATGTGCATAGGACTGGATGGACCAAACAAGAATGACACACAGACTGACATAAGATAGGAGTGATCTTCCTCCATAGTCTTAACAGTAAAGGTGTCAGAAAAGACTGCCCCCTGCTCAAATCCATTCAGATGCTACTCACCGGGTGTGCCTTGTACATTGTGTGTGTCATGGGAAACTCTTCAAATGTCTTTATCCTGGATGGACACCTGATCTGATTTCCTCCCGTCAAACAACCCGGGAATGAGACACAGTTGTAGTATCTGCCAACAGAAGCACACAGTATTCAGTAAAGGCAAGAGTCAATGTCCTGAGTGAACAGGACCTGAACTCAACCTCCTCACTGTGCAACCAAAGTATGCAGGGAGGAGGATGACCCAAATGGTGGATTTGGGGAGCATAATGGGGTCACCTTAGACCTCTTAACCCTGTACGACTTCTGCAGTGGAGACTAGACTGACTGAATCAGGCCCCAATAACCTCTCCACATGGGACAAGCAGAAAATGTCATATAGATCCCAGGCATAATATTATCATAGTTCACCAGAGTGCAGAGGCCTGGGAGTAATTGTTTGGGTCAGTTAGGAACAAATAGGATGAAGCTCCTTACATGATACTCTGGCAGCATAGCTGGAGAAGAAGAAGGAATGTGATAGCCTACAAATCAGCACTTCCTAATGAGCAAAATAAAGTAATTTTGCTTTTATAAGCAAGAAGCAATGGCCTAAATTCTTGGATCACACCTTATCACCTGGGATTTTCCAAAGATCTGGGTTCTCCCCATATCCCTCAGGCTCCCTGGCAGGTCAGGCTGCTCACTGCCTGCCAGGCTCTCTCTACCCTTTTCGGAGGGGATTCACCTTGCTGCTAGGCTGTGGCAGCGTATCCTCATGTCAAAGTCCTCTTCATCTGAGTTTTGCTGGGCAGAGGAAGGCACCTGGGAGAAACCATCATCTTCTGAGCTGTGAGAGTCATTCAGCGGGATGTAATCTTTCCCTTCCTGGTAGGAAGAACAGTAAATGGCCTTACAAGAAAGGGAACACAAGAAAAGGCTCCACAGCAGAAGCTGTCAGAGCTGGGAAGGAAAATTTCTGGTTTATAAATTTAATTTCTCTAGGACAAAATATCTGGCTAGAGATTTCTGTGACCTTTGTGTTAAGTAGCTGTGAGTGATGCATGGAGGTGTGTATGAGCAGGAAAACAACTGCCCATAATAATATGCTCATAATCCCATAATTCTCCAGTTTACATGGACAGAGTGCTGTGCTCCAGGGCAATGTCATTTGTGGCTTAGTCATGCCTGTGCTGGGAACCAGTTCTGAAAGGTTAAAGTCAAGAACGTCAGGATGAAGCAATACTCAAGAATTTAGCTATCATTTTCTGAAAGGGAACATCAAGAAAAAGTTAAAATTGGAGCTGCATTCTCATCACAGTTAAATGTCCTGGCGAGTTACCACATGGAAGTGATTAGTAATATGTTCAAAGAAATCTGTATTACTGACTGCTGTAATGTAACAGTTGTTTGCTTCACATGGCCCTGACATTTTCATCTGAGGACAGAGTTTCAGAAACCCTGGTCAAGTCCTGGTTTTCATTATGCTGGCGTGTGGGAGGCAGAAGTACCAGGGCCTTGACTCAGCTGAAGAATTTCAAATAAGTATCTGGGGATTAGGATGGAAGTTACTAGAATAACGACTGAGAGGGCTGCTGCCCTGCAAGGAGCAGAGTTTTATGAGAATGCAGCTAAAAGGCTGTTGCAGAAATGAGTTCTCTAACAGCTCTGGGAAATAGACCTCTGACCCAGGAATCTCTGTGTTATTGGTGGCCTACACAAATGTATTGCATTGACCATGGGGTCAGCTGAGGGCACAGTGAGGGAGCTGGTGATGACAGAAAAAGAGCTGTCTGGAGCAGAGAAGGGACAGCAGGCTTTCACCTGCTGGACATTTTCCTGAAGAAGGTTCCCCAGTATCTCCACAAGGTCGGAGAAAGTTGGTCTCTCCTTTGGATCACCGTGCCAGCAGCTCAACATTATACGGTAGCTGTCAAGAAGAGATACTGGTTTTACACCACAGAAATCCCCTCCTGCTCCACTCCACAGCTCCCACCCACATGGTGCCCACTGGCACTGCCAGTTCCTGCACTGTGAAGGAAAGCTTGCCCCCCTCAGCACACTGGCCAGGTGGACTTACTGGCAGGGTGTTGGTTTGTTATACACTTATAACAGGGGACAAGGATCTAATTCAGACCCCTATGATGCCCTTCTGAGCAGGAAAGCACAGTGCCACTTACAGACCCATCCCAGCACGGGCATGCAAGGACACCTTGAGGGCTGTGATCAGAACCCATCTGCCTTGCTCTCCAGGCAATGGCCTAGAGCAAAGGATGTGTTGGCTCATCCCCTACCCTGGCTAAAGGTCTGCATCCCACAGAGGGGACTGTTCTGCTCTATGCTGGGATATGGTAGGTTTCTGCCCTCCCACAGAGACCTCTGCTCTGACCAATGCTGGAATCCTTGAGGTTTCTGACTCACATTTCTGCTGTGGCATACTCTGGGGCTCTCATCCTGGTACCATCTTTGAGCCTCTGGCAGAACTCCTCATTGATCTGGACTCCAGGATATGGAGATGCCCCTAAAGAAGGTTCAGAGAAGGGTGGGAACATGAAATGTGCCATCAGAAACCAGTCCTTTTGAGACTGCCCTTCATCCCAGAACACTGAGAGGTGTGGTCACTACTCATACACAGCCCAATCCTTGGTGCTGCCTGAGTCAGGCTTCTCTGTCTCAGAGAGCTGGAAGCCACCTCTGCATGCCTGTGTCCCCATCACTCTGTTCATGGGTGCATATAGCCTCCATGTTTTTTTTTGCCTACATCCATATTTCTTCCCATGAGTCCTTAGATGTGATTGAGAATGTCTGTCCTGCACAGACTCACCCACAAACTGCTACGTGGGTAGAGGTTTCCCCTTCAGCAGCAACAGACCCTCACTAGCACTCACCTAATGAGAAGATTTCCCAGAGAAGAACCCCAAAAGACCAGACATCACTTTGGGTAGTGTAGACCTTGTCGAAGATGCTTTCTGGAGCCATCCACTTCAGTGGGAGACGGGCCTGCAGGAGGGAGAGGCAAGGCACAAATGTTCAGTTTGGAACATGTCCCAGGACAGCCCTTCTTGTAGCAAAGGGATAGAATGGATGAAAGGAAATCAGAGTCAATAGCTCTGCTCCTCTCTCCATGGAGGAACTGGTTTGTCAGAGAGGGACAGAGACACTGAAAAGGGGTTGAAAGAGTATAAGGAGAAGTAAATTAATGACAGGCTGAAGGATAGAAGGAAGGAGACAGAGATCTGCTGGTGGAGGAGGACAGGACATGTGTCATTGGTCCAATGGCTTCTGGTCCCCACTCCTGCTTTTTCATCTCTTCAGCAAAGGGGCCTAATCTGTAAAGGGTTTGAGAAAACGGCACTCACACTGCCTTTCCTGACATAGTCGGGGTCCTTGTAGATGTCCCTGGCCAGGCCGAAGTCACAGATCTTTACCACGTTGTTTTCTGACAGCAGGATATTGCGAGCTGCCAGGTCTCTGTGGATGCACTGAGGGTACACAAAGAGGAAGGGGCAAAATAAGAGGGAGAGAAACCACAATCAGAAAGTGTACAGCACCTCCCTTCCCCCATAAGCCCGAGCTGTAATGGGGGAATGGTGGAAATGGGAAGTAGCTAAAGATAAAAATTTCAAAAAAAGGCTGGTTAAGGAGAGGTTGAAATGCAAGAGAACTAATTTCCCAGCTTTGTGCTGGGACATCTGTGTCAGATTTCCTGGGGAGTGTGAAGTAGAGCACTGAATCTCTCTGTGTGTCACCTGAAAAGTGGCTGTAGTCAGGTCTCTGTCATCAGGCATGCACAAAAGATCAGATGAGCAAAAGGCTGAACTCACCTTTCGGGATGCCAGGAATTCCATGCCACGTGCTACCTGGAAGCTGTAGCAGATGAGGTCTTCCATTGTCAAGGGACTTTGCCACAAGTCATCCACTGTTCAGAAATAACACAAAATTATTAGAAAATTGGAATCTGTTGTCCTCTTTGCCTCTCTCCAGGACTGCAGGATACAGCCAGTTCTCAGTGAAACACAGTTAGCCCTCAGTCCTAATTGGAGTAATCAGCTCCACTCTAAGATTTTCTGCTTAGGTGCCAGAAGGCACAAGGCAGGAACCTACTCAAGTGTGAAGAGAAAGAGTCCAGCCTCCAGCATATGTCAATGAGACAGAGTTGTGGAGAACAAGCTTGGAAGGGGCTTTGAAGATCAGCTCATTATTTTTGTCCTAGGGAGGACTCAGCAAGATTCCCCTCAGTTCTCCTTTTTTCAGGCTAAAATACCCAAAGGGATTTAATTCTCCCTTCTGGGTTTCAGGTGCCAATAGACACCAGAAGACACACCAGATGTTACAATAGCCCTGTTCAGGCAATTGATCAGTTCCAAGGCTGGGTCCCTGCTCCCCACTGATATTCCCTGTCCATTCCCCAGGCCAGTCAAGTCTGGCATAGGTTTGGGGGTCCAGGTGGGGAGCTGCTGCCAAGGCTGGAGTGGTACCTTCCTGGATGGGCAGCGCCGTGCGGCTCTTGTGCAGCAGGAAGCGCTGGAAGATGGCGCTGTCGCTGGTCCCAGAGCGGCTCCTCCTGTCTGCTCTCACTGCCTCCACGATGGACTGCACCTGAATACGCAGCCTGGGAGACTTCTCCTGGCAAGGGACCAAACCAAAACCCTCAGCAGGCAACTCACACTGTAACCCCTGCACCCATGAGCTGCATCTACCATTGCATAAAGGATAGAGCCTGTCTTTGTCACATTGTCAGATCATGCATTAGGCTGCATGTCTTCCTTCCCTAGGACCAAAGGAATCTCCTCACCCTGTAAGGACTGAATCCTTCCCTCTTGGTCCGCAGGTAGTTGGAGAGGTTTCCATACTTGCAGAACTCAACAATAACCATGAGTGGACCTAGTGAGAAGAGACCAAAGGCAAGAGGTAAGGGCTGGAGTTGGTCAGAATTTGCCACAACTTGTGTTATGTACAGCCCTGCTGAGCTGTGACATGTGCTCTAAGTGCGCACACACACACACACACACACACACACACACACACACACACACAAATAACTTCCCCACAGGTCCCTGTAATCACACATGTGGCCAGCAAAAAGACACAAGGGACAAGCTCTGATTTTTGGGAGCAGGAACAGCCTGCTGCCCTGGGATATTTACCATTGGGTTTGGTACAGGCACCCAGCAAATTCACCACGTTGAGGTGATTCCCAATGTGGATGAGGATCTTCAGCTCTGACATCAGTGCCTTGTGCTCACTTGCAGTAGCTCCCTCTGGAAGCACACAAACCATGTCATGACACCTCCTCAGAGCTTTTCACTCCCCCTCACCACCCTTCTCTAGCAGCATGTTAATGTGAATCTTGCTGAGAAGGCTGTGACCTCAAAGCCTCAGTACATTTTGTTATTGCATGTTCCCACATTAAATGTTGAGCCTTGTCTGGAGATTCCAGGATCTCTGCTGTAACACATAGGGTGCTCTCTGCAAGTGCAGAGACCCAGAGCAAAGAACAACACAATCTGTGCCCAACAGATTTTTCTTTATGATAGTTGTGCAGTGAAAAACATCACTTGAGACTTTCATTGGGATGCACCCGTTTGAATCTCTGCCCTTTTGGCCTCCAAACAGAGATAACGAGCCATGAAACAATTTGAAAGAAAATTAGGAACAAAAGACATCTGATTCTTTTTGTCACAATTGAATACAGGAGCTGTCTCAACTAAAACACAGATATCTTTTGATGATTCCTCTTCAATAGGAAACAGTGTCATGCTCCTGCCATCTCTCTGTACTGCATCTTCTCTCAAGTGTCCAATTCGCATCAATTCTTGACCCTCTGTTTTACACCCAGGGTGTGTTCTCTGGTTTTGTGTGCCTTTTTCATACTTCTCAGCCTCCCCATACACATTTTGTCTTACTTGAGAGTTTGTAAATCTAGACTGAGAGACAGAACTATCCTCTTGAGCTGCAGCTGATGGGCCATGTGAAAGCCTTGCCTCAAAAAACTGTAAAGCAACCTTGCACACCAGGCTCCCCTCTTCTGTGCAGGTGATCTGTACACTTACAACAGTAAATATTGTTCAGACAAGCCATGACATGATTTCCATGTACAGGCTACTTCTGGCCAGAGACTGCCTCAGTGTTTTGTTTGGTGCCAAATTACAGAATAATGTTTTGGATGCCTGTTTGAAAGCATGGCTATAAAAGTTTAAAATCTCACTCTGGATAGACCAGGCTCTGGGTGCAAAGCCAATTTAGCCCTCAGAGCTGGATAAGAGCTTCAACCTGCTTCCTTATCCAGCCCTGGATCTGGCCCATAAACACAAAATATAGGCACATTTGGAAGAAGGCAATTGGGAGCAGCACTTCTTTCAGTGGCATGCCAAAGAGGGACTCTGGATTCTTGTTAGTCCTTTGATACAGATTTCATTCTTTGTCTCTGCAGACAGCTAAATTTCCTTGAAAGCTGAGTTCTCCAGGTCCTTGCTGTCTGTTCTGCCACTTCAGCCTCCAAGTGCAGCTGAATGGAGCCAAAGAGGATCAACTGTGTTGAGGCCAAGAAGCCATTAATTAAAATACAGACATTACAGGGTGAATGTTCTGTGGCAGGTGCCTCATTAATTGCTGTCTACACACATTGCATGTTTTGCTTCACTGTTCACATACCTTTCAGCATTTTCACTGCTACAGTCTCACAGCTGTTACTTTTATTGATCCCAAATGCAGATGCTTCCACCACCTTCCCAAAGGCACCATGACCCAAGACTTTACCTATGGACAAGGAGAATAAGTGTGAAAAAAGGCAGGTGCAGAAAAGGCAGAATAGAATGAAGGAAAACAAAAATCCCAACAGGAAATAATGGGAAGAAGAAAGAAAAAACATCATAAAGGAAAAGGAAGGAATGGAACATGTGCCTTTTCAAGTGGCTGCTTTCTGTGTCGGTGAGACTTAGAGAAAGGACGATGGGAGGAACTGAGACAGAGCTGGCATGGACAAAGCAGAGGAAGGAAATGGCCATGCAGAAGTGAGGGGCTGTTTGTTGCCCTCGAGCAACAAGTTGTTGTGTGTGGGAAAGGTAAATGACCCCTTGCAGCACAGCAGCCAGGACTAATGTCACTGTTCTGTGCCTCAAAGGTAGTCTGCTGCCCTTTAAACTCTGCCAGACAGAGGGAAGAAGCTGCAGGTGTCTCAGCATGAGGATAATAATGTATGCAATCCTGGTCCTGAACTTGGGGAACCTGCTGTAAACCGAGCTGTTCTGTCCAGACTCCCACTTGGAAAATATGGGGATGTGTTTTAAACCACATCCAGGGGTCTTCTATTTTCAGTAATACCTGTGGATACGCTAAGGAAGTCTGGGATAACAGTTGGCTCAGACCTGTCTACAGCCAGACCTAAAGAGATTTCTCAGGTACAGCTGGGCCTTAGGGACAGCCTGGGGAAGAGGATGGGAAGCCTGAGGCAGAGAGAAAGCATTAAATGCATAGAGGTGTGTTCAGAAATCAGAAGGGTGAGTTTGTAGGGCTGATGGGAAGCCCTGGCTGCAGTGTGCAGTGGGAGGGAGGGGGTCTGGCTCACCCAAGCGCAGGCGGTCTCGTGGGAACTCCCACTTGCTGGAATCATAGGGCAGGTACTCGCACTGCTCCTCCAAGGGCACCTCGCCAGGGTCCATGATGATGGAGAGGTAGCCTGTCTTGATGTCTGCGTGGGCTGGCTAAAGGAACCAGCCAACACAAAGGGTGAGGAGGTGCCCTCCTTGCCCTGGGTGCTGAGTCCCAGATGGGATTTAGATTCTTTGACTGCCTTGACCTGCTGCCCGCCCAAGCAAAGGCCATTCCCCATCACCTCCTTTACCACAGGCCTTACTCACCCTGTCCTTGACAATGAGAGCACTGGAAGCATCACTCAATGACCTCCTTTTAGCAGGTGCTGTCATGGAGCCCCACATCACAGCACTGATGCTGTCCCAAGCTCTGATATGCCACCCTCCCTGCCTGGGGCAGTGACAGTCACGTACCCTTTTGATGTTGCAGAAGATGAGAATAAGTAAGATCCAGAAGAAAACAGCAATAACTCCAGTGCCAATCAGGATGACAATCTCTACATTGGTCCTGTCATCAGAGCCTGTGGGATGGAAGGGCAATCATAGTTTCAGAGATTCTCATTCTATGCTCCAGCTCAGCCATTCCTTATGATCTGCATCAGGATGTGGGGCGACTGGAGACATGTTTGCCTGAGCTAAACATGCTCTGGCCTACAGATCCTCCTGTGAGAGCACCATGCCACCAGCAAGGCCAAGGGGCTTTCACTGCCTCCCACTGTCACAGGGAAGAGGCATGGGAGCAACTCTTATTCCACCCCTTTACATCCCCAGGGGTGTTGTGGCTGCTGGTACCTTCCACAGAGACACTGGCTGAAGAGTTCACACAGCCCTTAGCGTTGCAGACGCTGCACAGGTAGAGCCCAGCATCTTCCTCTCTCACCCTCTGAATGCTCAGCCTCTGGTTGAAGTCTGCCAGGTCAATCCCTGTAAGGCACAGAGGGTTGTCATGGTCACTCACAGGGAAAGAAGATTAGCACACTGGTTTCAGGCTCACAACAAGGCTTGCATTTTTTGGCTAATTCATTTTAGATGGCAGAATTACATCACACCAGCTGGCAGAGGCTCTTCTCTTAATGGCCCCAGAAAAACCCTGGAGAGGCCTTCCCCAGGCAGTGTACAGAGGGTACAAATCCCCCAGTGAACATTCTGAACAGGGACAGTGCCCAGGCAGTCCAGCTGGTGTGTCAAGTTCTGCTTCAGCTTCAGAACGTGTTCCTTTCCCTCTGCAATGTGCCTGGATCCTTCACATGCTCCTTCTGTAAGATCTGGGTCAGTCCCTGCATAATCAGAGATGCCAGGCACTGGGCTGAGAGTAAGAACATGAATGATTTCTCTCTCCCTGCTCTCCAGCTGGATGTGCACAAGCACAGACAGTGTTGAGCCAGGCCCTAGGGCATAGATTTGGCCACTGAGACTGCATCAAATTAGGACAGAATGTGATTAAAACCCGGCTCTGGCTGATTCAGAGAACAGGTGCCTTTATCTGGGGACAGCAAGTCCCAGAACTCAGCAGTGCTCAGCTCTCCAGCTGCTGGACATACTGCCCTGCCTGTGATCCACCCCCAGCCCACTGTACCTGACACTTCTTCCACCAGTTTCTCGTCTTTGTACCAGCTGATTTCAGGAACGTGGTTGCCGTCCACTTTACAGCGCATCTCTATGGAGTCGCTGACGTTCACCCAAATGTCTGTCAGGTTCTGCTTGAGGCGGGGGATCTCCAGGGCTGGAGGAGCAGCACAAAGAGGAGGAGGGGAAAACGGGAAACTGATTGATCAAAAGAATATCTGTGTTCCTGGGGGCCTTTGGGTCTCTGACCCCTGCTGAAGGGTGTCTTGAGAACCCAGGTGCCCTGCCTTTGCCACCTTGAGTTTAGCTTGCTTGTGTGGCTTCCCCTGGGGATGGCCTGGGAAGCTGATGGCAGCAAGAGCACCAGCTCTCCTCTGTCACTCCCGCCAGCCCTGTGGACCCTCACCCTGCACAGAGATGTATTTCTTGTGGCAGTGTTTCTCCCGAGTCTTCCTGTTCTGCACCTCACACACATAATCTCCCTCCTCATCCAGGGAGATGTTGGGGATGGTGAGCAGCAAGGTCGCATCGTTGGAGTTGGGCTGGAAGCGCAGGTCCCCCTGCATCTTGGTGGCATAGTGGTGGACGTTCTTACAGTCCAGCACGAGGGGGTTGCCCTCTTCATCGTGGAGCTTGGAGAGGTTCAGCCGGTACCACTGCAGGTTCTCATAGGTGTAGTTGTCTGCATTGCAGCTCAGCTGTAGGTCCTGCCCCTCGATGGGCTCTTCCGAGGGCTGGGACTCAATCTCGAACCCGTCTGGAATGGCTTTCAGGAAGGAAATGAACATGTGAATGAGTTTTCATGGCTGAGCTGCCAGACACAATGAAATGGTCTCCTTGGGCTCAGCTCTCAGAGATCTGCCTGTCCTCATCCACAGTTCTGTAGACCAGAACTCTGACATACAAACTGCTGGCAATCATAGATTAAGCCCAGTGAGTGCTACGGGACCTGCTCAAGTCCCAGGTGAAATTAAGATGGGGTGGTCCCACTATGACATGAAATAACTCATGCATGCACACTAAGATTAAAAGAGTAAAAGGAAGTAAAAGGAGGGACCTTTATTTCTGACCTTGCAATATATAGAATTCTAAAAGTGGCAGTGGTTTGGAGGATGAAATTGCCACTTCTCCAACTACAATGGTCAAACTAATGGTCTATCAATTCTTTCCTCCCCCAAAGAATGTAAAACCATCATTATTTACATGACAGTGTGTGAGAAAGTCTAGTAGAAATATGTAAACATCAGAAGGTATAGAAAACTTTTAAAAGAACAGGGTGACATGGGGGGTCACAAATGAAACAAGCCAGGGAGGTCTGAATTAGGCTGTTACTGCTCCCAGCTCAGCTGCAGCATTCTGGTTTGCACACATGCCCACCTTCACACATGCAGGCAGTGACACAGCAGCCTGGACAACAACACAGAAAGCATTACTGAAGCAGTGACTGAAGCGACTGGTCTTCTGGCTTCACAATAGCTGGTGGCTCTGACAGCACAGGTTCTACCACAAGAGCCATGAACCCAGCCTTCTGGGCTGGGAATTTGATTATGGAATTCTCATTCCATAGGATAAGCTTTTGCTGTGCCCTTGCTGGGCTCCCTGTCTCAGCAGACAGGGACAGGCTCCTGCCAGGACGGGTACCACTGGCAGGAGGCTCATGCATCCCCCTATGGGCCATGACTCCAGCCCACACCGCGGGGCTCTGCTTTCTACAAACTCAGCTTCCTCCCATCACCAAAATCCCGTGGGATCACTGCCGGGGCCGGGGCCAGCGGGACCCGGCCTGGGATAGGTCGGGCGATGCCACTAGAGGATGCTCTTGGACCAGGCACATCCCAGCCCAGGGAGCTGCCTGAGCCAGGGGATGTCCCCGGCCCAAGACCCGCCCAGGACCTGCCAGGTCTGCTTCAGGACCTAGGCACAGGCAGTGCTGGCTTATTCCCAAGTCTGCCTGCCAAACTCTGCCCGTGCTATCTGCTGCCAGGCCCTGCTTTCCTGCTGGCTTTCCAGTCACTGTTGAAGATCCTGACTGCGAGTGGCAGGACCTGGCAGCTCTAGGGACCTGCCTATTTCAAGCAGAGAGCTTGGCTGGTGCAGGTGAGGGGAGTTTACAGTACTCACTGGTCACGTAGAAGTAGATCAGCCTCTCGTCTCGACCCACTTTATTAGAGGCAATACACTTGTACATGGCTGAGACATTGGCCTCCTGGATGGCCAATTTGCTGACTGTCTGATGGGGGAAGAGAACATAAGGAAGAGTTAGAAAGAGACACAGGGAAGAGAAATAGGATCACTGCTGCTCTCTGGCAGGTAGCAAAGCCCCCGACAAGCTGTTGTTGTTATGTGAAAACAGGCCCTTATCCTACAGCCCTTTGTGCATTTCAAGCTTTATCTGTTGGCTCTACCAATAATAACATGATTTTATTCCCAATCTCTGCATCTTTCTATGGAGCCCAGTCAGCAGAGATGCCTCTCCACAGGAGCAAACTTCTTGTTAAACCCCTTGGGTCACAACGGGGACAGTGCTCAGCAAGGGGGACAGTAACAGGATGCAGGGCTGAGGGGATGGTTAAGCTCCTGCCAAGCTTTATTTATAACAGTGAGAAGAAAGGGAAAGGACACCAGGGTTTTGATTCCCTGAGCCCTCTGCAGTTAAGTGACTAGTGTCCCACAGGGTTCAGTGGAATTTACAGGTACTTACAGACCTGCAAGTGCTCCTTTTATTCATAAGGAGAAATCAAACCTGTGAAAATATCCCAGCTCTCACCCCTTCAGGAAGAGTAGTCATCTTTCATTGAATTCCAACCAAACATAGACATGGTCCTAAAAGCTTCCTCCTCTCTCCCTCCAGCAAGACATGACTAAGATTGGGCAAACAGCCAGGCTGCCATCCTGGGAGCATGGACCCTGGGAATGCTGCCTCCAAATTAGCCAAGAAAAGCAGCTGGGGAATAAGGCTGCTCTTCTCCTCCTCCTGGCTCACACAGCACATGTGTGAGCTACCAAAAGTGTTACAAGCACTCCCCTTAGAGGAGACTTGCAGTTTGAGGCTCCAGTTTAAATGACAAGTTAAAAAATCCCTCTAATGAGATGGTGTTTAAAATGCAAAATTAACATGATCCTGCAGGGAAATTTTTTTCCCCTTTACAACCCATAATACTATAGACTTTGGGAAGCATTTCCGTTCTGAGGGGCAATGTATTGAGGTTGTGTTAACCAGAAGGAACAGGCATTCATTCAGTGCATACTCAACACAGCTGAAGTGACTTTATTACTGGTACTTTTGTCCATTGCCTTTTCCGTTTCTTGGGGTTATTCATACAACCAGAGTGACCCTATTGCTGGCACTTTTGTGTGCTGCCTTTCCTGTTTCTTGGGGATTTTCCTTCTAATCTGCAGTGTTATGTTTGAGTTGGGGTTTCTTGATCTGACATCATCCTGCTGCCTGCAGTGCATGACTGTGCACTGTGTATCCTGTGGCTCGTTCTGGCCTTTGCAGATGGAATAAAAACCAGGAGGATGGCAAGAGAAGACAAGCATAAAGAACAAGGAGAGAGAGAAAGCAGATTTTAGGATGTAGCATCCCACTGTGAACGGAATAGCTCTTTTCTCCCAAAACTCTAACACATCCGTGGGGATGCACAACCTAAGTTGAAGCTCCAGGACAGTTACAACCAAACAGATGGAATGAGAAGGACACAGCTGAGGAATAGAAGAAAGAAAATGGGGAAAACAGGGGAAGATCAGAAAGGACCAATGCAAGTGTCACACCCCTAGTGGGAGACAAGAGCTTCTTACCCAAGAGCTCCCACTACCCCTGCTTGAGTTCCTGGGGAACATCAATCCCTCAACCTCCCTTCAGCTGCTCTGGGAGGAGAATCATCTGCCCTTGCCACCCTTTTGGCAGAGTGATGAACTCCTGGCCAGGCCAGGGGACGGGAAGTGCCTTTAGAGGTGTGTAGGAAAACAGGAAGTGACTTTCGGAAACAGGGGCCCATTTGTTTGTTCTGCATCCCTCTGTGAGCTGCTGGTGCCCGACACCAATGGGGACAGGAACCTCGTCATGGCACAGATCTGACACTCATGGCTACCCGGGAGACAGAAAGAAGCAGGCAGCAAGCAGATCACACACTGCAGTGAGGGAGAGATGTTCCTTCCAGAGAGGAAACGCTGTGATGGAGAAGTGGCTTTGTGGAGCACACATTGCTCCTACTCACAAAGCTGCAGCAGACAGATGCCAGCTTCTCCAAATCACCCTCACCCCACCAGGATGGGGACAGCTGGATGAAATGCCCCACGAGACACATGCACCTTCCCAAGGCCAGGGATTTCCTAGTCAGCTCATGACTCCTGCTCTCTTGCCCAGGATGCTCTGCAGGGCTTGGTTTTTACAGAACAGCTCCTGCAAAATGCTCAGAAATGGCCATGGGAGCCCTCATAGCACCTGTGCCACGTCTTCCCCAGCTGGATGCCCTGTGTTCAGTAGCAATCCATGAAATCCCTCCTGTGCAGCCAGCCCCAGTGGGGGCCTCTCTGGACACAGGGCAATTTCTCAAAGATGACAGCTCTCCCTCGCCCTGGGGCTGCCTGGTACTGTGGAGCCCCAGGGCTGGGAACCCCCACTGATGGTTTGCTTTAGAAGCAGAGGTGGGAAGCCCTCCCCAAATCTGTCTCTGCCAGGCCCCTTTCCAGGACACTTTTCCTGGCTGATTGCAAAGGAGTCCTGTGCCTGTCTCCAGCTCCCTGTCCCAGGATGGGTTTGGAATACAGCCTCACCTTGTTCCGCCCCTCCACAAACTCCACCCAGGTGTCAATGCTCTCGATGGGGTTCACGGCGTCCTGCTGTGACACATCTTTCCAGTCCTTGCACTCGGGCATCCGGTCCCGCTGATGGCGCCTTGCTGCCCGGTGCCTGCTATTGCTAATCCAGCAGCCAGGGACCAGCAGGGGAAAGAGGAGAGAGACAGAGAAAAGGTTAGCTGAGGAAAAGATAGCAAAAGCAGCTTTGTGTCAGAGAACTGATGGCCCAGTCCTATAACTCTGCAAAATTTCCTGGGTTACACAATTCTGATGTGCTTTATAAGGGTGCCTTGCAACCACCAGCGAGGCAAAAATTTGTAGGTGTGAAAACTGAGGCAGGGAACAGATACAAGTGTCCCAAGCAGTGTCTTCACCCACAGGCCTGGGGCTTCATCTTTCCTTTCTAAGGGTGGAGAAAGACAGGATGATTCATGTGTGCCTAGGGCAACTCTTTATGTAATTTGCTCAGCACCAAGACCTTAAAGCCCTGCTGGGACTGAGAGTCAAAGGTGTCACTGACTGGCTGGTGCTAGCCTGGGGAGCAGATGGTGCAACACCCAAGGGCGTAGCACCCAGGGGTGCTCCCGCTGCCCCTGATTCAACAGAAGCCAGGAGAGACCTCCCTAGGTAAAGGTGCTGCTGGTGTCTCACAGGGGAATGATGGTAACTCTTCAGGCTGAGACAGGTGGGTGGGGAGAAGTGGCCAAATCTGTCAGGGACCTGTCATGCTGCTGCCTGAAGGGTGCTTTTGAAATGCAGGTTGGAGTGGAAGATGGGAGGGTGGGTTGGGATAGAAGGGAGAGGCTTTGGGTGACAGGGAAGCAGAGGGGAGCTGTAGCAAAGGTGTGTGCTGGCAGTATGGGGCAGAGCACTCGGCGGAGCAAACACACTGGTGAGCTGTGTAAACAACAGGAAGCTAGAAAGAAGCCTCCTGCATCCTCTGGAGCTGTGCTAGGCAGAAACATGGTGGCCTTGGGAGACAGTGCTCATAATTCATGGGCCCCTCTGCTTCCTGACAGGGCCACAGTGCACTTGCATGCAATGGAAAACTCTGGCGGCCCTGCTTGGCAGAAGCCTGCAGGGCTGCGGGACCTGGCTTCCTCCAGACACCCTGATGTTCTCCACCCTGACTGCTCTGGCTACAGCTCCCTAGCATCCCTTTTCCTTCTTCTGGTGAGACTGTCATTAAAAAATGCCACTGCAGCCCTGCCTGATGCTGCCTCAGCTTCCCAGGGCACGGGCAGTGGGCACGCACCCTTCCTGCCTACCTACTGCCCTGCTGGCAAATCATCCCAGCAGCTGGCAGAGATCTGGCACTTCCCCAGGATTCAGCAATTCTTCCCCACAAGCAGCAGCTGCCTATGAGCACTTTTGCTTCACAGGAGAAGAGAAAGGACAGAAAAACCAAGGGAACCTCAGGACAGGAATGATGTGAGCCCCAGCTGCTGTCTTCAGTTCTTACCAAGGGGATGTGACAATTTCTCCTGCAATCTGCCTCAGTTTCCCCACTATCACAGTGATCAGTGGCTTCATTGCAGGTGCTGTGAGGGGTGGCTGGGCCACGGACATCCACTGACAGAGGCAGGTGGCTGAAGATGCAGAGGATGCTGTGGAAGTGTTGGTGTCTGGGACCAGCCAGACTGGGCAAAACTCCCACATGGACAACAAGTGTCTCCACTCTGCCTTCCCACAGGGCTGTGTTGTGGGTGGGAGAACAAAACTGAGACACAGTTGGGGGCACAGCCATGGTCACAAGAAGCCCATAACACCAGGATGGTGGCCTGACAAGACACAAGTGTTGGAGGAAATGGCACTTACAGGCTGCGTCGGGAGAACATCCGGCAGGGCATCCATGGCCTCCACTGCCACTGGATCACCTCCGGTGCTGGGATGCCGTAGACAGTGCAGGTGAGGGCCTGGGGGCTCCTCTTGGAGTAGATGCTTGGGGAAGAAGCTTCTTTCTCATGGATGCGTGGAGGAACTGCAAGGATCAGAGTGACATTGTGAGCAGCTGCAGGCTCAGGCACTGCATCCCCAGCCTGGCACAGCCCTCCCCAGGCCCGTTTTTGGACAGCCTGGGCACTACAGCTCTCTGGCTCTCAGGGCAACTCAGGCCTGCAAGGCACAGCAGGTCATGCTTAAGTAGATTCAAGTGACATCGTTTCTCTTTTCTGTGGTGTGTGGAACTGTCTGGATGCTACAGGGCTCAAAGCACAGGGCCACAGAGCCTCCTGGAGACACATCTCCAGGCAGGAGTGTCCTTCCAGCAATTTTTTAGCTGGCATCTATTTCTTGCATGACTGGGACCAGTTTCTGCTGGGGAAAAGCTCCATAGGGGCTTCCCACCCAGAGGAACTACTCCAGATCAAGACTTTATCTGTGTGGCAGCTGCCCTGCTCTCAAGTCCACATCAGTCAGGGTCACCCTCAGCAGCATCTCCAACTGCAATTGGGAAGTGACCCCTGAGCAATGATATAAACTGCCCAAAGTGAGGGAGCCAGGAATAAAATTGTGCCATGGGAGAGGAAGAGGTGATGTAGGTACTATTAGGATAGCAATGGGCACTTGGTCTTGGAGCAACCCCAAGGCTGGGGCCATGGGCTCAGCACTCTCCCCCAGCTCCAGCCCCAGCCCCACCTTACCATTGACAATTAACTGGAGGCTGATGTGCTTCTCCAGCCCTGCCAGCCTGTTCCTCAGAACCAGCGTGTATGTCCCAGCATGCTGCTCCGACACATCCTTGATCTGCATTGAAGATTGAGATTGCTTGGGAATTAGCTTTCCATCCTTGTACCTGCAGGGAGGCAGAGAGAAAATGCAGCCATGGGGAGGAAGTGTCCCACTGGCAGCTGGGCAAAGGGTTTGCTGGTCCCCACAAGAGTGCAGAGTGCCTCTTGCTAGCACTGAGGACCTCTCTGGAGAGACCCATGGGCCTTTCCTGGACCCAGGTTATGGGTCTGCACATTGTGTTGTATGGATGTGTGTGGGGTTGGGGGTGTTGTAGCTCTGCCTGAGCAGTGAGTGGGTGCAAAGCTCCCATCTCCAGTCAGCTCTGATGGAAGTGCAGCACGATGAGGTGCACAACCCATCCCACTACCTTGTTCCTCTGGGTGGCTGTGATTGCCACAGCAGAGGGGCAAGAGGGGACAGCTCCTGTGGGAACTCCACTTGGCTCTCCAGCCATGCAGAGCTGCCAAACCAGGCTGTGCAGCTGAGTGCCAGGACATGGGAGAAATGGCCCCCATGGGCAGAAAAAAGTGACATTTGTGACAATCTTGGCAGCAGGGGGACCTATCAAGGAAACCAGGCTAGGCTTCCCCATTTGACAGAGGAAAGGAGAAAAGGAGAAAGTGGCTCAAGCTAAGAAAAGTGAGTTACCACTGGAAGTCTGGTGGGGGGTAGGCCACGACTTTCACTGGCAGCTTCACAGCTTCATCTCCTGCAGTGGCTTCTATCACTGGGCCCTTCCTCCACTCCACAGTGATGAAAGGCTTTTCTGCAAGGGAAAAAGGGACCATGGAGGAGAACTCAAAGAGACAGGGTGTCACACAGCTCTGCTGCTCTCCACAGGTCCCGACAGCAAGGACAGGGCTGGGTGTCCTGACAGCACAACTGAGATTCTGGCAGCTGAAGATCTGCCTCTGTCTCCCTCTTGGGAACCATTGGGAATGCAGGAACGCTGGGCTGCCCTGTGGCTTTCAGCTGCCAAAAAACAACCACCCAAAGCAGATGGTGCCTTGTGCACCTGCAGCTGGTGCCTCTCAGGCCAGCCATGCCACAGGGGCACTGCATTTGCCATAGGCCAATTTGGTGTTGGCATCTCTGTCCCTCCCTTTTGGGACCTTGCTGAATGTGACTCTGCTCCCAGAGCCGCACAGGAGGGCTGAGGGGCTGGAGGAGGGCTGGGTTTCACTAAAGCAGAGTGGAGGGAGGTTCAGGAGCCACTCTGCCCAGGCAGTCTGGGGTTGGCTCTGCTGCAGCTGGGCTCTGGCTGTGGCTCTGCAGGGCTCTGGCAGGTGCCATACCGTGCACAATGACATCAGTGCTCTCCTCCAGCATCTGGGCATCACTGGTGGCAGTGCATGTGTACTTTCCCAGGTCCTGCTGGCTGACATTGTGGAGGGTCAGGATACTGGAGAGCTCTGTTTGTGTCTGCAGGGACCGGCGCTCAGACTCGATCAGTGCTCGCTGCGTCTGTGGGAGATGACAGAGAGAAGGGGATGAAAGACAACAATGGGATGAGGCTGTGTGGATGGGCCCTTCACAGCTGTGATTCCTGATGTTCAGTGCTTGCCTCTACCTGGACAGGTTTCTGCAAAACTGACTGCCATCCTCAGGAATGGAAGGGCACATGTTCTGTGTACTGACTGCCTGAGGCTGGGCTCGGATCTTAGCATGGCTTGCTCCTGTAGCCCAGGAACCAGGCTGGGAGCCCCATGAAGTGAGTGATGTCCTCAAGGGACTCCCCTGTCACACCATTCAAAAAAGCCAGAGGATACAAGAAGGGGAAAACACAGTGGGGAAGGGACCATCTCACAGGATTTTGGTAACAAGGACTCTATGATTAGAGTAGTTCCTTTCAAACCAATCACATTTGCTCTGGATTTGCACTGGTGAAAGTGAAGTCCTTGTTTTCTCAAGAGCCCCAGAGCAGTAACACCTCAGCAAGGTGGGAGCTTTCTGCTAGGAAAAGGGGTCTTCATTCTGTCTTTCCTTATGGTGCAGGAGAAAATAAATGTGAGAACACTCTGACCAAGATGTCCAGGGCACAGGATGGTTAGGATTATGAAGCAGAGCCCTGCCAATGATGTGAAGAGGAACAATAAAGGGTCAGGAGGGGGCGACTCAGAGGGTAACAGTTCAGTGCACAGGGAGCTGCTCAGCTTGATCATACCTGTTTGCCAGGGTAAGTCCAGTGGAAGCCAACAGCAGAGTTGAACTCAGCCCACACTGTGCAGTTCAAGACCAGCTTCTCTCCCACTAGCAGCTCCATGGCTTTCTTGGGATACAGCTGAATGTCATACAGTTCACTCCCTGATGCAGAAAGAGGGAATGAAAAGAGATTTCTGATCTAGTTAACTCTTTGACTCAGGCTGTGGGAATCCTGCTGCATGGTGTATCTCTGTCCAATACACAGTGGAACAGATATAAGCACCATACAGAGTCTATGTAGCCAGAGAGGACCACAACAATCCCATGAGCCACAATGATGGAATTCAGAACCACTCAAACTGCTCCCCTGAACCTTCCCAAATATTCACCTGCTATATGGATGATGAAGAAATTGGATTTGAAGACCTTCTTGTCGATTACAGTCTCACAGTGGACATACAATAAGTCCCTGATCAAGTGTGTGGGTACCTGCATTCCCTTTTTGTTGTCCCATAAAGTGCTCTTGCCGTCAGGGTGGATGAAGAAATTTTGCTGGAAAAATCAAAATTTTGCCAACTGAAATCAGAGGGTAACAACATTCCCACTCCACTCCTCCCAGGCTTTATGCTGGCTAACAGATCCCTTTTGTGGGAAGAAATGATGCAGCATCATGCTGTGCTGGCCTCCTGCCCTCTCCCCCCGAGGGTTTGCCATCTAGGAATCGTGGCCTCCCCTCTACCCCAAGTAGCTGCATCCTGCACCATGAACCTCCCCGTCTGCAGAGTGGGCCAGAGACTTCCAGGAATGGAAATTTCTAGAGATAGCTGAGGAAACTGATGCTGATGTCCCAAACATCAGCCCCACTGGGATGAGTGCTGACCTTGGGTAGTGTCCTTCCCGGGCAAGGGAAAGGCCCCTGGCCCCCAGAGTGTCCCTGGAGGCCTTTGTACAATAGTAACACTCATCCTGGAAGGATGTATTTGCATTGTAAAAAAAAAAAAAAAAAAAAAAAAAAAAAAAAAAAAAAAAAAAAAAAAAAAAAAAAAAAAAAAAAAAAAAAAGGGAAAAAAAGGCAAAAGCAAAAGCAAACTGATAAGAAAGCTTTTTTTAGTCATGAGCCCCAGGGCTGCAGCCGCCTCCCTTGTGGGGATGCCGACCACATAGAGGGGTGTAGATCACAGAGATGAGGCAACAAGGCCTACAGGGGATGCTCTGGGGAAATGGGTTTAGAACAAAGTCTTGTTTTGTTTCATAGAGCTCCAGGGAAAAGAAGCAAGGTTGGCAGGAAACCTGTGGGATCTGCCCAAGGGAACTGGACAACACAGCTTCAGCCAGCAAATAAAATGAGGAAGCCAATGGCTTGTACTTTCCATGGAAAATGTATCCCATGCATTTTCCTTTCCTGGCAGTGCCTGTCATGCTTCCACTCAGGCAATTACAAATGCAGAACAAATGCAATACACCTCGGTGCAGTCTCCCAGCAGCCAAGCTCTCACCGAGGTCAGTGTGACGTTAAGATCCGGGATGGACACGAGACATGGTACCCAAGTGTTCTCCTTGTTGCTGATGAGGAGGGTCTCTGGCTTGTTGATAAATGGCTGTTCAAAATCTGTAGAAAAGATACAAGGAGAACAACTGCTAAAAAAAGAAGAAAAAAACTGGGAAAAGGCAACAACCAGTAGAAAAGGAGGCTTTCTAAATTTCCTTAACACAGCAATAGCAGCACAAGCTTTTCAGAGGGAGTGGTGCTGAGCTGTTCAGCCCCATCTGCCACACGTGACAGTCAGAGGAGACACCTGGAGCTCGGGAATGCAAAGCTCCTCCGCACCAAGTACGGTACCAGCGCAGCGACACTTGTGTGACATTTGGGCAGTGCGGGAAATGACCTCCCCTTTCCTGGAGCCCTCAAGGTCTCTGCCTGAGCCTGACCCTTTGTGAAAGCAGTGCGTGGTGTCCTGGGCTCGGCGCCTGCCCAGCTGGTGGCCGTGTGCCCCAGCGTGGGGCTGGTGGTGGCGCGACCTTCCCTGGCGAGGAAGCGATCGGCAGAGCGGTGGTGTGCAGATGTCATCCTGCAGCCATCCCAAAGCCCCACTGCCGGCAGACAAACACACCAGCTGGGCTTCCCAGGGCTGCCACCCCACTGCCACCCAACTGCTGCAAGCACAAATATTGACAGGAAGAGCAAAACCACCCAGAAATAAGCATTACGGAATGACTTAGCAAGGCCAGGGATGTTATACAAACTCTGTGCAGAGACAGTGTACAATCAGCAGCGACCCAGGCTGAGTAAAGGGGATGAAGACAAAATTGGAAGAGACAAAGAACTGTGAGACTGCTCGGTGGCCTCAGTGACAGATGATTTATTCTGTACTATCAGCCCCTGCCTGCCCTTTTCCACAGGTTTTATGCCTCACAGGATGCTCTGAATAGAGACTGGTTCCTAGTATCTTGAAAACATGGTGTTGCCAGCATCTGTCCTCTGTAAATGTCCATCCAGCACATGGTCATGATGGGCTTTATTAATGGAAATTGTCCCCTTAGTGAAGGGGGCTTTATAAAGGGGTGATGGGTCTCCAGGGAGATTTTACAGCTTTTGGTACACTGGATTTAAACCAAATTATCCAAGTGGCCTACCTTTATTTTTTTCGCCTGTGTTTCAGCTAAACAAATTATTTCAAGGGAGTGTAGCATGAGCACAACCATTTGTTCTGAGATTCTTTCCCTCTGATACCCAGCCCCTAAAGCGACTCATCTAAAGGGACAAGTCAAAGGTGAATTTAGAAATGATCCTCACTTGGGCATTCTGTTGTTCAAATCACATTGGGCTCAACCCAAACCAGCTCAGTGCTCCCACTGTTAAGTGCATAAACCTTTAATTTTTGATCTCTAAAGCTGCTGCTTCAGTGATACTCATGCTGCAAAGGCCTCTCCTCTGTGTGAAGCACTTTTTCTACAGAGCAGGTGAAACAATCCACACTCAAAAAACTTAGGAAAACATGGATTGCCCAGAGAGTTCTTATCTTTATTTCCTGGGGTTTTTTTTTCTGCCACAGGATTGCTGACTTCTGAAACCACAGATTTGTTTCTCAGTGTGAACATGTTCCTCATTCCTCTCCCAAACCCTGGGCATGTGAGAAGGAGAAGCTGCACAGCTGCCAGAGGTGAGAGACTATGAGGTCCCTTCAAGTTCAGATGGCAGCCAAGAACTGATTTACTGGGCTGGTCCTGCTGCCAATGAGTTTGTGATTCATGCACTAACTCCCCTCTCTGACAACATCACAAATTTCCTTAAGACTGCCTTAATGGGTCGGATGGGAATAATTTAGCATCTTCTTCATTAATACATGCTAAGCTTTATGAGATGTGGGCTGTACATAGCCTATCCTACCCTGATGAAGCTTTCTGTGTCTACAGAGCTATGTGTAGTTGTAATAAAATACAAATCTAACCACACACATGGGAAGGAGACACATGCATGGAGAGTTCATTTGACCACTGAATTGCAGGTAAAGTACAGAAGAACCCATTTTTCCAGGCAAGCACAGATATTCTGTTCCTGGCAATTTCACCAAGCCCTTAACATGAGAAATGAGCTTGATGGATAAACCTGTAGTCTGATCATCCTGTCTCCAAGCATCCCCAACACTTACATCAGCCCTTCCAAGCTCTCCAGGGACAGTCTCACATTGCAGCCCAGTTGAGCAGGAACAGGCTTTATCTGAATGTTCTGCAATGGTTGTGCTTACCATATGCCTGAGTTTTCCTGACATGTCCCTTCTATTGCCTGAAAGCCTGTCCTGTCTGGAAAGGCAGATTCTGAGGTTTTCTAGATGCTTGATAACCACAAGAGGGGACAGCCTGACTGGACTGAGTATGAAGATGAGCTGTGCAGCCATGTGCACAGCAGTGCTGCGAGCTGTTGGCAGGATCTGTCACACACATGCCATCCACAGGCACTGTGAGTCCCACGGGCCCTGACAGTGTGGGATTTATTGCCCCTATCCTGCCCCAGGTGCACTCTCTGGTAAACAGGAGAGCAGCTCCTGAGCTGCAGAGAGGCTGGAGGTGAGAGAAGGTGGATCAGGGGGCAAAGGGACATTTGTTGGATCGCAAAGAAAATCAGTTCTTGCAAAAGCACTCCCTGCATGTAAGCTTGTGGGATTGTACTCATTTTCAGTGTATTTAAGAAGCTCTCTGCCTCCATCCTAATACAACTCTCTAGAGTGTCTGAACACCCCTGTCCAACTCACAGATGTCTGAAATCCAGGCAGGCTGTGTCCTGTTTCAGGGTGGGCGGCATAGCCCATGGAAAGAGGAAGCAATTGCCCAAACAGGCTTCAATTCCTCTCCAACAGCTGTCCAGCTTTTCTGATTTGCCCCTGCATTTTTCTCTGCATAGTTGCAGAGGCAAAATTGGCTTTGCCCTGGGACTTCTGAAAAATGCATCTTATATGTCATGACCTGCCTGGCTCATGACAACTGCACCAACTAATAAATGGGGGTGGAAAGAGAAATAGCTCAGCCAACTGTTTCCAGGGGACAGAGTTCATTTATCTTGCTGGAGCCTGCTGCGAGCAGTGGGGGAGACAATGGAGGAGGAACCTCTGGGACACAGAGATGCTGAGTATTGGCCCCACAGCCACTCCCTAAGCTGAGGTTCCAGCCCTAAGCCTGGTGATCATCTCTCCTCTGCTAAAATACACCTCATAACCCTGCCTGCACGGGCAGCCCCTGCACAGTGTGGAGAGGAGCATCTGGATCTATCACTGCGGAGCAACTCAGGCCAGCAGGTCTGGGAATAGGCTGCACACGGAGTGGCTGTACCACTCATCCTCTCCCTGTCAGTGTCAGCTTTATAAAACACTGCCACCCCCACCACCAGCACCTCAGGGAGCCCCAGGCTGCTCAGAAGATAACTCCTGTGCTTTTTTTAGTGATGGAGCGTCTCTGAGGAGTTCTCACTCCCTGAATTCCTGCATTCCAGCCCGGCTGGAGTGATGCCCCCGGGACGGGACATAATTGAATCCCATGGACGGATATTGGTCCCCTGCACTTCCAGGGAACCAGCCCTTGGCCCCCTCCCCGAGGCTGCAGCAGCCACGCTCTGCCCTGGGAGGCACACTGAGATTTTTCATCTTTCAGATGTTATGTTGGTGCATTGGCTGCCTCGAGGCCTCCAGCCTGCAGGTGCACAGCTCTTACCTCTCACAAACACGTAGGTGCTGACTGCTGTGGTGCCCTCGACTTTGGCATCAATGTACTTGTAGTAGCAGCGGTAGTAACCCGTGTGGTTGGCCTGCGCCTCCGTCAGCACCAGCACTTTGCAGTACGGCTTCGTGCCGGTCCCCTCGCAGTCTTCTTCTTGGATTGCCCAGCCGCTGCTGGGGGCTGCTGAGGCCACCAACTCAGTCTCCTCCTTCCCAGCAGGATCCACCTTGCCCCCTGGCCACGACCACTCCAAAGGGTGCTGGCCTCTAGACGTGGGCAAAAAGCAGCGTTAGCTTTGGGCTGAGCATGGTGAACGCAGGGGTTTTATCGCTCTGTGTGACTCCCTCCACACCTGCATGTGGCCCAGCCAGACACCAGTCTGGGGCTGAGGCATGGAGGAATGGCCATCCTCCACAGGAAAAAACAGGCACAAGGAAATGGCAACCAGATTCCCTAAGTGCTGGGCAAGCAAAGGCTCATCCCCTTCCCCAGGCCACCTCTCTGGCCATGTGAGGCTGTAAGATATCAGCCCACTCACAAGCAAGCCCCTCTGTCCCATGGCACTGTCCTATTGGTATGAATGCCAGGACAGGGAAACACACAGGACCCTGAGGGAAAGGTTCCATTTATTTTCTATTCCCTCTCATTATTAAAAGGGTCCAGAGCTATTAGGGAAACACATGGATGTGATGATTTCCCTTGGCTCAATGTAACTGCTGGCTGAGGCTCATTGTGTGATGAATGGAGTGGGAAGAAGAATGGGGGAAGGAGAGCAGACTGGAAAGAAAGCGAGAAAGAGAAAAGCAGGAGGGAGTCAGGGATAAAAGACAGCAAGGGGAAAACAAGAGGAGGCTCAGCTGACTGCCTTCTGGCCAGCTGCCAGCTGTTTCCTCCCTGGTTACTGTGGGAGGGGGTTCCCCTTGCTCTGCACAGCACCCTGCAACCCCCCAAAACCCCAGCTGGCCTGGGGCTGCCACCCCTTCCCACCTCTGCAGAGACACTGAGCTGCAGACACCTCTCTGATGGCATGGCCACAAAGACTGTTCACCAGCAGCCCAAAGACAGACAGAAAAGTCCAGGAACTCAAGAAAGCCCCAGACAGAACACACACGTGTGTATTTATATATAGCTGAGGATCTCCAGAGCGGGAGCTTGCATGTGCACACACGTGCCACCGTAGCTTGTTATAACTGCACTTGTTTACTACAAACAAAACAAGCTTTTATTCCACACTGGAAGTTTCCTTCTGTGAAATCAGAGCCCCTTTCAGAGGAAGGCCTAGCCCCCACTTGAAAGTTTGCCAAATAGCTGAAAGTCACTTAAGTACGTGGAAAAAAAAAAAAAAAAAACGGGGGGGGGGGGGGGAAAGAAGCCATCATAAGAGACAGCTGTGGGGTAAAATTGGCCTTTTGTCATCACCATCAGCTCTGTGAGGGGAAACTGGGTTCATCTATTATGCAAGTTGGGAATAGATCTGTTGGCACACACAGCTCCTCTGCCAGGGCAGCTCCATGGGCAGATACTTTTAAGCACAGGCAGACTGTGACCATCACTAGACAGTGAGGGACAGAAAGGAGGAAGAGAGATAAGGTGCCATTGGAGGGCACAATGGCTCAGATGCAATGAGGATTTCTGTCCAAGCACAGGGGAAAAACCTGCCCTTTTGTGTTTGTCTTCAGCTGATTTATCTTCCCTGGATAGAGCAGACTTTGCTGTCTTCCAGCTCACTGCAGATGAGTTTGGAGAGAGTGTGCTGCACTCTTCCCATGTTACCAAGCACAAGGGCTCTGGAGGCAGTGAAAAACCCCTGGGGACAGCCACACACCCCCTCTTACCCAGCTCAAGCTTCTGTTTTCACTAAAAATGCCATCAGTGCCTGAGGCAAGACAGACTGTAAGTACAGCTTTGGTAGCTTGTGTTCATGAAGAAGAGGCAAACTTCTCCCAGGTACCAGAGTCTCATGAACACTTCAATAAAAATAAGAACTGAATTTTGAGTTTTTCCCATCCTATTCATGACACAGAAAATAACAGTGAAACTGATCACTAAACCAGGAACACCTGGTGGCCTCTGCCATAGGTGTTGCTGCTGTGTCCACAGCCCCATTGCACTGGCACAGACCATGGGGCTGTCCCTGCTTTCAGCCCAGAGCTGGGAGCTTCAGACCAGGCATTTTTGGCACTCCACTTGTAGGAGGGTAATTGTGAAAGTCTCCAGTGTTTCCGCTTTCTGTTTGTTTACCTACTGGGATTCTCACACGTTATCAGATCCGCTTGTTCCATTACCCATCAACGCCTGCAGCAGCTGAGTGACACATATTTATATAAACATGAATGGGCCAGTGCACACAGGCGTGCCAACCAGCCCGTGGGCAGCTCAACCCAGGCATTCCCTTCAGATGTGCTTTCATTTCCTTTCATATGTCCAGAAGTTTGGTGGGGACACAGAAGGTGGGGGCAATACTGTGAGTCCAAGTTAGTCACTGATGTGTTAAGAAGACCAGAAGAATGCAGGAATGAGGGCAGGCCAGACTCACCTGGATTTATTTCTGAATCTACCTCCTGCATTTGGAGAAGGGTCCACAAAAGCAGCAGTTTTGGACAGTTCCCTCTCTTCTATCTGTCACCTTCCAAGATTTATTCCCAAGTTGTTTTCTTTCAGCTCGGTGATAATGTGCCTCTTCGCAATGGAGCCTGCTGATGCCAGCTGGAAAAAAATGCACTGTAGTCTTCTCCACAGCTGTTTTCCCTCAATCTTTTCAGGATAGATGCTCTTCTAGGGAGATGTTGCAATTGGCACCCCTCTTCTTCAATCCTCTTTGAAACTCCCGTGTGTGGGATGATGGCCAAAGCTGGTTGGGGCTTTGTGGCTTTGCTGGGATAAACCAGATTCCCCTCAGCACCATGGAGGATGTTCACAGCAGCCATACATGAGCAGGAGAGAGCAGCAGGTGTTGTGTGCTCCTGGACACTGTTCCAGAGCACTGGTTGTAGGGCTTTACATTACCCTCAGGCTCCTTCAGCCCTGCCACAGTGCTCATTTCCTCCACGGGAGCCAAGAGGGCTCCAGGGTCAAATATTTCCTCTCTGCCACAGATGGGTTTGCACATCTGCAAGTCAGCTCTGGGAACAGGTCACTGGGCAGCAAAGGACATCCTTCCCCTTCTTTTTATTGGTTTTCTCCCCACCTGTGTGCCAAGCACCTGCAGGATGGGATGGGATGGGATGGGATGGGATGGGATGGGATGGGATGGGATGGGATGGGATGGGATGATACCTCCAGAGGTTTCTGCTGTTGTGCAGCTGGCTCCTGTGGGATTTGCTCCAATGCTCATGGGTTGGAACAGTACAAGCTCTCTGCTTTCCCCCCACGCAGACTGCTGAGGACATGAATGCAGAGATTCACAATATTCTTTCCTTCCTTCTAGGAATGGGAGCTAATAAAAGCTGCACTGTCCATTTGGGCATCAGCCCCTTCCCCCTGTTTTGCCACATGCTTGGATCAAAACATCCCTGGGGCTCTCAGCCAGCCCTGGCACAATCTCTATTTTGGGAAATGCTCCTCCACTGGTCTCCTGCTCTGTCTGGGCTTCTCAAGGGTGCCTTGTGCTGGGTAACAAGGGAACAGGACTGCATGTGATGGCATTTGCAAAAGCAGAACCGCAGCATCTGGTGTGTGTGTGCTGTGCCTTTGTGTATCTGTTGAGCATGCCCAGCTCCAGAGGCATTGCTTGTCCCACAGCCTGGCACGAGCTCTGGTCGCTGATGAGGCTTGGTGGGCTGTGGAGCAGGAGCAGGGCAGCAGAGCTGGGGAGGACTGAGATCCAGGCTGCTGCGAGGGAGCCTGAGAGCACAGTTGGCTGCATGGCTCTCACGCTCAGTGGGTGAAGCTTGAAAGGTCTCCAGGGAGTCTCACACGGGGGTTTTGAGCTCATCTTTCTGCTGAAGCACTGCTTCAAGCAAGCCTGTACTCCTGGCTCCAGGGCAGCTCGAAGAGCAGCCAGAGGACATTGCTCTCAAGGGAAGACCAAGGTCAAACTGAAGTCACCTCCAACACGATGCTCAGCAGGAAATCCCTGAATCCTGGATTTGATTTTGTATTTGTTTCTGCCCTACCCTGCCCCACCACCCTCTCCTTTGCCTGTTCTCTTGGTGGTCTGCATGTTTTTCCCTTCAGCTCCCATTAACACAAGCCAGGTCTTCCCAGGGTGGGCCATGGTCCAGAGAAGAGGTTGGAGAAGCAGCTGGGTGTAATTAGAGATCCAGGAACCAGGAAAGATTTAGACTTCATTCAAATGAATAAGTGTCCTGAAGTCAAAGTCCTCTCCTCAAGACAGATAAACACAGAACTGAGAGCTCAGAAAGAAAAGGGGAATGCTCTGAGCCATGCAGGAGATACTGAGACTTATCTATCTGCAGATGGTGTGAAGGACACTGCACAGCCCCAAGGAGCACATCTGGGACACCAGGATGCAAAGGCAAAGAGCAGCTAAAGAACAATATGGGCAGAGGGTACATGGGTTCTAATGCTGTTTGCAGATGGTCCTGTGCTCTTCAGCTGGCCAGTTCAGTCTTTCACAGCTGCTGAAGACTCTTTTACCACACCTCTAACTTCAGTATGTCCTTTAAACTTGGCTCAATCTATAGACAACAGTCTTGAAAGTGCTTTCTGTGTCCCTTTCTGAACTCCTGTTGAGAAAGGGTCTGCCCTGATTCTAAGCTCATTCAGAATATCCTCACCGAATCTCACCTCTTCAAGGTTTAATAAAGAGTGTCAGTTCCCACATCCCTCTGTGGAGAAAAGTTCCATGGCAGAGCACTGGAATCCCCAAACTCCCTTCTCTTCCTCTATGCTCCCACAGTGGCTGACCACAGCCCCCCCCAGACAGTCATGGACAGATCTCCACCTCACTCATGACAGCTCCTCAAGACACCAGATGAAAACAAGCCCACAACCACTCAGATTCCCAGACCAAGTGAAAGCAGTTCAGTAATTAATATCAACAACCTTTCCTCTGCCCTTCTCCCTTGGTTATGAACTGATTCACAAAGGAAAAGCAATGCCATCTGTTCCAGGAAAAGTTAAATATGTTTGTGACAAGACATGAACACAATGCCAGCCAAGTGTTTGCAGTAATTACTCTGTGGTTATATATAACACTGAGAAACACCCATTTGAGGCCCATGCTGAATTTAGATCCCCACTGGACCCAGCACTCAGATCCCAAGCATGGATCTGTTTTCAGCTGCTGAAGGGAAACTCCAGGAAAATTGACCTTGGGCAATTCTCCCACTTGTTTATGGGTTTTTTTTATTTTGGTGTGGTTTATTTTTTGGTTTTGTTTTGTTTTTACTTTTTTTTATGCTTTCTGAGACAAGAGACAGTTCAGAAAACACGCACAGTCAAGTGTCCCAGCACACAGAAATCAGTTGGGACACACCACCTTCTCAGAGCCACAGTGTTCAAAACAACCAGAGATTCTCCAGCTCCTCTCACAGTTACCCACCTGGCCTGGCTGGGGCTTCTTTTCACCCACATATATAAAGGGAGAGCATTAAATCCCATCTTCCTGGAAAAGTTGGAGGCCTCTCAGAGCCACCACTAATTGCAGCCTTGCCTTCTCCCATGAGTATTTCTCAGTGTCCCCCAAATGTCCCACTAGATTTATAAACCAGAACTTCAATCTCAGTGACCCCAATGAGGTGGGAATAAGGAATGTCAGAGAAAGACAAGGACAGTCAGGAAGACCAATTTCACTGAAGAGCTTACAGCAAAGCTATCAAATCACACAAAATGTTTCTCTTTCTTCTTCTCTGAAAGACTAGAGTAGAGGTTATCACAGAATCCTCTGAGATGTCTTTTGCTTCTTTTTCAATTAATTAGATTAATTCACACTTGGGGGATGTAGTAAGGCATGCTAATTTGCTGGAGTACTGCAGCCAAGGTGTCCCTGGTGGGCTCTCCTTGTCTGGTCCTCCAACCCTCACCAGGTGAGAGCAGACAAAGCCACACTTGCTGGTGCCTACCTGCAGGTGATGGTCAGCGTGTCCTTGGCGTTGATGACGTGCTCCTCCTTGGTGATGCTCAGAGTAGGAGGGGTCATAGAATAGCTGCTCACCAGATCTGTGGAGAGAAAGGAGAGAGGGGATGATGCAGAGATCCACAAGCCTGGGCCCAGCACTGTGGGCAGCAGGTATCCTGGTGCCACGAGCCCAAAGAGATGCAAAGGCTCCAGAAGCCAACATCTCCTGGGGGTCTGCTCCTACAAAGGAGCTGGTGCTGGTTCAGTGGGACACAAGATATTTGCCTGCAGCCCTCGTGGCTCCAGTGAGCAGCTCTTCAGCTCTTGGGCCAGGACCAGACAGCCCCTGGGCTTTGATAGACAGCCTAGCACAGATGAGGACCAGAAAAAAATGGAACACCAGAAACTGGGGATTTCAACTGTAGCCATTCCTCACCAGGTGACTGATATCGGGCTTGCTTGGACTAGGGCTCTACAATGATCCCCTCTGCTAACCAGAGCGAGTCTGGCACAAGATTTTTCCATACACATGTAGCTTTCTGTAATCAGGAGGACAAATCAGGGATGCCTAGATACCACAAATGAGTTTGTACTGGGATGCTCTCCGGAGGCATTCATGGAATGCCCTTCTCCTGTGGTGCACTCTCATGTGCAGTCACCTGACTAGGACCACCCTTAGTGGATTGCAGCAGCCCCCTTCCCTGTACCAATGGACAGGCTTTCCAGGAGTGAAATTACCCAGGCTCAGGGACAGGCAGTTAAACATTATCGTGCTCTTCTTCCAGCTTTTTTCAGGGAGAGTCCCACTTTTTGTGTCTTTGCATTTTTGGCATGCCAGACATGCACCCTAAGTGAGCTCCTCATGGACAAAACATCTCGAAGTACCGGTTACCCTCAGAGACTACTGTTGTTTTTCATCAGCACAGTGTTGCCAACTGTCATTACTTCATGATCTTTATCTTAAAACTCCAGCTTCTGGAGATGTGAGATAATGCAAAAGAAGTCTTGTTGACTGCAAAAACAAGCAAACTAACTAGAAATAGAGAGGGGGAAAAAATGTTATGGAATGTGAGGCTGTGACTCAGGTAGGTGCTAAATGCTAAGGAAGAAAAGAATGCAAAAATATGCTGCTAGCTTGACTTTCTACAAAAACATGAGGTTTTTTTTGCAACTGTGTGCTGTGTATGTCTGTTTGCTTCCCTTGTAACATTCAAATCCAGGTATCAGAGAGATCTGGCAGGGTTGGAGAGGTCTCAGGGTTGTGGTGTCTCCACGTGTTTCACAAGCAGCTCTAACACCTGTACTCTAGAGCTGTGACCTGAGGACTACAGTTTGAGAGCCTCCGGATAAGAGGAAATGGTCTTAGGTTGCCTTGAGCGGGGGGTTAATATTGAATATTAGGAAAAATTTCTACACCGAAAAGGCGGTCAGGCATTGGAACAGGGTAGTGGTAGAGCCACTATCCCTGGCAATGTTCAAAAGACACGTGGATGTGGCCCTTGGAGACATGATTTAGTGATGAACACACTGGTGCCGGGTAAATGGCTGGACCTGATGATTTTAGAAGTCTTTTCCAACTTTAATCATCCAGTGATTCTAGGAATGTTTCTCCATGGGGAACCCTGACCTAGGAGACAACAAAGGTCCACCAGCTTCTCAGCCACAGGGGTGGCGTGGAGATCCAGGCTGGTGGAGAAGCCGCGGTGCCAGCAGGAGAGGCTGCTGTGGGACAGGGCGGTGAGGGACGTGCGGAGCGGCACCGCCAGCGCTGCCAGCCCGGCCTGCCGGCCTCGTCCCCCCAATTGTTCTCCACTTCCTTCCCGCCTGCGCGCCTCTGAGGTGCTGTCCCCATGGCTGCCCCCATGGCAACAGCAGGGTGACAGCCGTCTCCCCGCCATCTCCGCCTCCCCTTGCCCACGCGAAGGAGCCTCAGCCCAGGGCCAGTCCTGTGTGCGTGTCCCGCTGCCACGGCCTGTCCTACAAACATCGCCCCCTCAACAGCAGCAGCAGCAGCAGCCATCCCTTGTCACTCAACACACGGGTCGCTGTGGTCCCTGGGCCGCGTGGCGCTCGGCCACCATGGAGGACAATGGAGGACACCCCGCCTTGCGCCCCCAACCTCCCCTTTCCCAAAGGAGGGGACGTCAGATGTCACAGAGAAAAAATGTGCCCCGGGGCTGTGAAAATAAATGACCACATTTTTTGTAAAATCCCTTCAAAATGTAACAAGGTTTATTAAAGAAAGGAGGCGGGGGAAGGAATCTGTCTGCTAAGCTGCGTTTCCTATTAATGCCGGACACGCTTATCCCAGTGCAAACACTGCTCCCCAGATGGCCACAGCTTCCCTGTCCATCGTCCCAGGGAGCAGCTGGGGGTGCCTGTCCCCCCCACGGTGCTCAGCCCAAAAAAGCAGAAGATAATGGCTTGCATAGGGCTGGCTGGGGACAGCAAACCCTCTCATCCTGTCTGTGCTCTGGGGCAGCAAGCAGAAAGGTAATCCCCAAAAGTCTGGCATGGCCAGCTCCCAGGCTGGCTGCAACAGGCACTGCATTAGGTCTTAAAACTGGCATGGTTCCTCTGCTTGAACCACTAAATAAGTGCCAGGGTGGCAGAAGTCTCTTGGCCAATGCTGTGCCCCACCACCGGGGCTGGGGGGAGCAGGACGGCAGCAGAAATAACCCCCTGCCTCCCTTCACGTGCTGCCTGGTGACCTGTTAGCAAACAACACCAGGGGGTGGAGGGGAAGAAAGGAAAAGTACGATCTGTGCAGGTTGGGGCTGTGGGATTCCTGCAGATGCATCCTGTCCATGGCCCTCCGTGAGTACAACAGGAAAAGGAACCACTGCTCACTCCGAAAGCACCGTGGCGCGGGGCTGGGGACACTCCTGCTGCTGGCAGCACTGCTGGCCAGCATTCGTGGCCATCCAGCCCCTTCACCAGCCTGAATTGCTGGGAGCTTTGAGGACTCCCTGCACTGGCTCAGCTGGGGACCCGCTGCTCACATTGATGCCTGGCATCTTGGGATGCCGATGCTGAGAGCCACCCATGGCATCCAGGACAGGCAAAGGGATGCACAGAGCCATTCCCAGCCTGCAAAATCATCAAAGCCATCAGCTTTCCCTGAAAAAATTCTCTATCACTCTGTGCTTGCCAGACTGATACACCCCATTGCTGGCCTTGCCCTTTCCCTCCCCAAGGGAGCGTGTGCCCTGCCGTGGCTCTCTCCTGTGTTTTGCTCTCCCCAGCCCTGAACTTGGTGCTGGGTTTGGCCATTAAATCTCTGCTAACCGACACACAGATGGTTTGTGTCTCTGGCAAATCCCAGAGTGTGAGGGAGATGTCTCCAGAGCATGGAGTGTCTCCTCTCCTCTGAGTCCCTCCTTCCCCACCTCCAACCCCTGTGATGCTTTATCTCCTCAGCCCTCCAAGCAGCTCCCGCTTTCTCCCGCACACCCAATTGTACCCTTGCACAGGGAGAGCATTAATGTAATTAAAAAGGCATGCAGCAGCTCTGGCTTTGTTTTTTCAAGATGGTTGCAGCTTTTTTCAAGCAAGTTGGCAGCAGGATATTAAAATAAACAGAGGGGGATTGATGGGATGCGGTGAGAGGAAGCAGGATCCCACAGCCAGTCACACCTTGTCTATTCCCAGAGAATCACATTTCCCAGCAGTTTTCTTTGCCTTGATCTTGCAGTGCATGGCTCTGAAAGGGGCCAGGCTGCACTGAGGGCCTTCTCCTTATCACTGGTGGCTGCTTCATTTTCAGGCCCCTCTACCTCTTTCTGCACCCTGACACCACTGCTGCTCTCAGTTGCATCCTGCATCCAGGGCTCTCCCTACCTCGTGGGGAAGCCACGTTCACCCTGGAAAGTGCTATCCACACCAGGGCATCTCGCAGCCTGACCTCTTCCCTCCACCCTTGGGCATGTGGGAAAGCCCCTCTTGGAGCCTGGTTTTGCCTTGTGAGGGCTGCAGATGCTCAATCCCTGCAGAGCAGCATCAGTGCCAGAGCCAGCACTGCCACAGCGTGCCATGGCTTTGGGAACAGAGCAAAGGCTGTGTGCAGGACAAGGTAAGCATGGTATGGTGCAGTATGGCACAGCACAGCTCCTGCTCTCCATCTGCTTCCACTCACAGGAAGCCCTGCACCGGATCCTCCCCCAAGCCCCCACACACCACCTCAGCCCCTCTCTGCTTCCCCTTCCCTCCCTCTCTGCTGAGTCGGCCCTGCTGACTGATGAACGGGGCGCCTTTCCGGAGAGGGATTTTGTTCACACTCTGTCCTTCTCGCTGACTTCCTTCCCTGGCACTGGGTTGCATCGCTCTGGTCACAGCCACCACGTGTCCCCAGCTAACCGGCCCAGCTCATGCCCCTGCCACCACTCCTTGGGGTCCTGTGCAAGAGCTGCAAGATAACACGCACAAAGCAAAGCTGCTCCAGGTGAGGCCTGTCTCCCTGCACCTTACCCCAGTGCTATACTGGGGCAAAAGATCAGCTGGAAGGGAAAAGAGCATTCTTTCCCCCAGCAAAGCTCCCCTGACCCTGCTATCACCCCAACTCTGCTGTTTTCAGACAAAAACTCACAGTCAGTGAGCATCTGTTCAATGAAGCAATGCAGGAACTCAAGATTTGGACACTTTCTAAAAAGGAAAATTTTCTTTGTGCCAGATACTATGTAAGCAAAGCTTTGCTCCTCAGCAGCCAACAGTAAAATTCTGGTACCTCTTTGGCCAAGAGGGACTATTCAAAAGAGCAGCAGTAGCTAGCACTGGGGCAGAGGGAGAAGAAGCTTTGCTCTGCTCTTTCTGCAGACTTCTTCTCCTGCCTTCCTGGCTGGACTTGTCTGAATCAGGAGCATTTTCTGGCAAAACTGCATGTTCCCCCCTGCCTTCCTGGCTGGACTTGTCTGAATCAGGAGCATTTTCTGGCAAAACTGCATGTTCCCCACGGGAAGTAACTCTAGCACCTCAGGTGCCATTTCCCCCCCTGCTCCAGTTACAATTCCCCACTTGCCCTGTGGTGGTACAACTCACTGCTCTTGTTCTGGAGGACCTGTGGTTGCCCACAGACATGTGGGAAGTCCACGTGCTGGAGGCAGAA